GCCGGTTGCCTCTGTTCAGAGAGTTCTAAATCCCGTTTCTCTGTTGTTATTATTATTAAAAATAATAAATATAAATACGCATTTGTCATTTGATTAATAACCAAACAAACTATTGATGAGCATGTAACGCGTTCTTTGCGTAGTATTTCTGCCTTGTGTTTATTGTTTTTTTTGGGCATTATTTGGGCGTTATCATAATCGCGCGGTAAAAAAAAACCTGTAGCATGGGCAATCGTTTGAGTGGTTTGTGGTGTAAAAAGACAACAACATTACATATCAACAGCGATCCAAAGCAGCCACAGCAGCAGCAGCAACAACAACAACAGGAGAAGCTCAACGAGAATAGCATTTGTAACAACAATAAATCAAACAGAAAAAAATCAGTTGGCGCTGCTAGTGGTGCTGGTGGTGCTGGTGGTGGTTGTGGTAGTTTTGGTGGCACATTTCGCTTTGGCAGCGCACGGCGATTATCTTTAACGAGCTGCGCCTCCAAAGATAGAAACACAGCGAACAAAACATCGAATTGCCCAATTTCAACAATTGAAGCACAATATCAGGATCTGGTCAAAACTAAAGCAGCTGCTCAGCAGTCAAGAGACGAGAAGGCCAACATGAAGCATGATAATACTCAATTGCCCACTGTCAAGGTGAGTATGCGACCCAAAAATAATAAAACCACATTCCCCAGTCGAATCCATGTCGCGCTGCACACTTCCTAAGGGGCAATTGTTTTTATACACTTTTTATACATTTACAATTCGCGGCGCCCAACGCAATTATAAACAACAACAAACAAACAAGAACAACAATCAAAACAACAATTCGAATAACAACAATTATGTCATTTCGCTGGTGCTTCTGGGCTGGTTTTTCAGTCAGGGGTGTTAAAACAATAACAATCTTGTCGCTGCTCGAAACTTGTGTCGTAGTTCAGGTTCAGGGACACCCAAGTTGCTGCTCTTGTTGAGGTCGTTCTGGGGGAGGTATCCACTGTGTCATTAGCATGACATAAAGTCGGAAATTTGACATTGCTGTAAAGGCGGATGCTTATATCACATTTTATACTGTCAAGGTATCCAAGAGTGAAGATTTATAAATTATAAGCCGAGCTTAGTCATTGAAATAAGCTTAGAACTGAAATTAATGTTTTGCTAATGACAAAGAATATACAAAGAATGCGCCTTGAAATGAATACCTCTAATCTTTAGTATATCTATACAGTTTTATAGTTGTTTATATATATATATATATATATATATATATATAAAGTAGAATTTTATAGAGTTGTGGACTGCGCTGAGCACACGTCAAAGCAAATGAATCAATCAATATCAATCACTGCAACACATTCAAATTACCCAAATAAAGACTTATCTACAATTTTGGGAATTTTGTCCATCAAATGACCCAATTGCGAGTCAAACGCATAAATCAAAATACATTTTAAGCACGCTGTGCATATAAATAAACTCGAAGTAAACTCGATCGTAGAAGTGCATAAAAATCAATTACGCATGAAAAGTGAACAATAAAAAATAAGACGGCAACGATGATGATGATGATGTTGATGTGGTTGACGATGATAATGGCCATTGGCCATTGGCCATTGGGCGCAAGCGCAACGTGTCTGTCAAAGAGACTCTCCCACGGCTTGGCTGAGTTATGGGCCTTGGCCCTGAAATAGGTTGGGAAACGCCGCCGCCCATGCGAGCTGAGCTGAAGTTGGTGTTGGTGTTTGGTTCTGTTAGATGAAAGCCCATGATGAGTCAGCGAGCAAACCTTTCCTCGGGCTGTGACTTGATACACGTTGATACAATGATTGGGATGAGTCAGCGGCAACTTGAAGTTAGGCGAAAGTCATTCATTCATGCCTTTGTAGATACCAGATACAAGCTACAAGATACAAAACATACAACGCGTAATTGAAGACACATTTTTTCTTTTCTTGTTTTTTTTTTTTTTGCATCGACTGAGCGAGTGAATCAGCCCAAGGATCGAGCGCTAAATGGTTGTGGCTTTAATTTGGTGCATGGATCCATTTATTAATGCTAATCGCTTGCCCAAAAAAATTTGACAAACTAGTTGAAAGAGCTGCTGACACATTTGTGACTAATTCGAATTCCTCTTCAAGGCGGCAGCTGCTGCGGCTGCTGCTGATGCTGCTGATGTTGCCTCAGCCTCAGCCTCATTTCACATGAAAAGCGAAAGTAGCTGACAGTTGGGTCAGCATTATTATGATAAATTATCGCATTTATTTCAGGCACTCGTCTCGTGATTGTTCGCCTGTCGCTTCAGGTAATATTCTGTGCGTTGGCTAATTGCATAACTAATTGTATAATTATTGTTGATTATGAATCCGCTTCCTATAACTCAATTAAATGTGAGAATATGCAGCGCATTGGCCACGCTAACAATTGACCTTCTGATTCTGGTGTAGTTCAACAACTTAGCAGCAACATGTATCTGACAGATACAGATACATATACACTTGACGAAGCTGCTTGCGTGTGGGTGGCGCCTACAGCAGCAGCAGTAGCCACAGCGGCACACATTATTGCGGTTCATGGCAGCGCTGCCTTGTAATCAAAACCAGAGGCATGAGCAACAAAATTTTGAAAATTCCAAAACTCGCATTTGGTTGTTTTGCACACTTTAGAATTTCCTGGAAACATTAACGTTTCCAGTTCGCTGCCAACAATTTGCCAATTGAAATGTTTAATAAACAACACAACTAAAAAAAAAAGAAAAAAAAAACAACAAAAATAAGCAAATTTCACGCAAGTAATGAAAAAACCAAACGCTAGAAAATCAAATGCGACGCACGTGTTCGACTTGATCTCAAATTCGATTCAATCATCGAATCCAACCTGAGCTCAACGACCATTCGGCAATCAACAATATAAACGCATTTGTTTATTTGTTTTGCGTAAACAAAAAACGGTACGAAACGGATGAAAAAATAGCCAAGTGCTTAAAGTAAACTAATGTCTATATTGTTTATATTAATGCGTTTTCAAGCTAAAAGCTAACTTCAAAGTTCAACACAAATGCAGAGCACAAAAAAAACAACATTAAAATGCATGTAAAATTGAAAAATGTTTTTTTTTGTTGTTGTCGAATCTGCGCAAGCCAAATTGCATTGGGGCAAAAATAAATGCGCCAAAAAAACAAACAATCCAAGCAAGCTGCAAAGAGAGCGAGAGAATGAGAGAGAGATCCATGCATACGCTCTCTCTTTACTTATCTCACTCGCTCTCCCGATCGCATTTCGTTCTCTCAGCCTGGCAACGCTTAAAACCGCTTCGAACCTGTGCTGAACAACTGAATTTGTTCAGTCTTGTGTCGAACACTCAACGGTTTAGTTCAGAGAGCGCAATCGAAGGCAACGACGGCTTTTTATCTAAAAATCCCACGATAAATATTAAAAATAACATAGTGTTTATAAATATATATTCTACATATATGTGTATGAAATTGGTTACGCGAGATAAAAGCATTAAATAATATTGGAAAATATGTAGAGAATGCTCGAAATAAGTAATAAAGAAAAAAAAAACCTCAAGTGAATTGTGCGTAAAACTAGATAAATATTTCAATGATTTTACGAATATAAATTAAGCCACAAAATAAAAATAAAACACACAAATTTCCCAGAATAACATTTCGTGTTTATTGTTACTTTTCTGACGTGCACAAAATTTGTGACTGAAATAAAATGAACTAATTTAATTTTGAATGGCATATATCTGTTTTTCTTCTTCTTGAGTTTAGCATAATTAATGTAAATATAAAATGGTCGTAAATTTACATAGTTAGACATTAATGTTTTTCTTGTTTTATGTTTTTTAACAAACAAAACCAGTTTCCCAATAACTGGCTCGGAAAATTAAAGCCAATTGCGTAGGCTGCGCAAGTCGAACGCAAAACAATCAGAAGACGCCCAAACTAAAGTCGCTAAACGCGTTTATTGAGTAACCCAAAGACACACAAAAGGCAGACAGGCAGACAGTTGAAGTGGGAGTGGGAGGGGTGTCTAAAACGGTTAACGCCTTGCATTTGGCCAAGCGGAAATTCATTAGCCAGTTGTAAAAACACGCATGCAACTTGACAGTGCAAACGGAAATGAGCAATGACAACAACAGCAACAGCAGACGTGGGCAATCGGGGAACGGGGGCATGTGTTGAACTTGCACCCACGCTCTTGCCAGGCTTTGACATAGTGCTGTTAATTGTCAAGGCTTTTGGCCAGGCACAAACACACATAATTGGCGATTTGATGGCATTTTATCTGCTAGATACATTTGTCAACGGACAAAAGGTCGCAAACCAGTTTTCTGGTATCTCTTTCTGTAAAGCCTTTCCCATTGTCTGCATCTGCTTTGCTTTTATTGTATCTCGAGAATATTTTGTCGGTTAACGGTTTGTTGTTGTTATTCTTATAACCAAGTAGCCGATCTTTGCATTTTTCTTCGTCTTCTTCTTTGTCTTCGTCTTGTTCTTGTTCTTGTTCCTTTTCTTTACTTTTATTTTCGCTCGTCTGCTTGTCTGCTTGTCTCGCTTTCGGCGCACACACACAAAGAGTGAAAAAAAACCCAGATGTGCCATAATTGTTTATAACAATAACTTTGCTATATGCACAGACAGACACATTCATTTATTCATTTGTGGCTTGCAAAATTTGTATAAGTGTTATTATCGATTTCTGGGAAAACGTTCGCCTTCTGGAATGCTAATTTTCGGGCTTTGTAATTAATGCAAATGAATTATGTATTGTTTCTGCCAGATATGTAGAAAAACAATTTTTAACAGCACTTCGCAAAATGCCAGCGAATCGACAGAGTGTCTGAAAGAGAAAACGCAACACAAAAACCTATAAAAACATAATCCTCAAATACAAAACAACAACAAATAAATAAATAAATATAATTAAAACAGATATACTGGGCTTCAGTTCCAGTGTTCGCAAGTGTTCTCAAGTGTTGTGCAGTGTTGCAGTATTTAACGACAATTTAACAATGGTTGTCACCACAACGCGTAGTCCGCTGCTGGCGCAGACGCAGCCCAATAATCCAGCAACAAGTGGCAGCCACACGGCCGCAATGCGATCCCGTTTGATATTTCCACGACAACACTATCAGGTAACGTCCCCTTTTCCCCCCAACCCCAAACAATAACGAATCTATTAACGAAACTCCATCTCAATTGAGCGATTACGGGCGAACCCCTTCAGAGTGTACACTCAGAAAAAGTAATAAATTTATTACTTAAGCAAAAACATAAATATCTAAAAATGTCATTTATATATTATTAATTTATAAGCACACATTTAGGCTTAATATTTATTCGCATAAATACATTAAGTTATCTAGAAACGTTCTTCGACTTCGATTTTTATTCTGAGTGTAGCTGAACGTCGTTCATTAACCCCGAGGCGCCGCAACAAATGACCAAAGCAAACGACGTCGACGGCGACGCCTAATAGTTCCAGCTCAGTCCAGACTAGTGCGAGTGAAAGGCACACTGGAAATATTCTCATATATATATGTATTTATATATATGTGTAAACAGTGGTCTTTATGATTATTATCAAGTCCAATTGTGTGCGTGAGTGAGTCGTTTTTGACCCTTGGCCAGACACCAACCAGCCAGCGGACAATGCATCTTAAACTGTGCAGACGACAACTTGAAATGCACTTCACATAATATATTATTTTATGGCGTTCTTCTGTGAAATATGTGCAACAGGCGATCCCTTCTGAAGAAGCACCCAAGCCTGATCAGTTCCATAACCTGAGATTAACACTACACATGTAGTTGGAAATGCGATTGCATCTTGAAATTTATGTTCAAATTATACCCTCAAAAAGTGTTATAGACGCTGATCAGTAGTTTCAAAAGCCATAACAAAAGCTAAGACTTTTTGATAATGGTTTCGACTACTAGAAATTTGTTACATTCAAAGTTGGAGACGCGATTATGGCTCGATATTCATATTCATTTTATCCGGTATTCAAAAACCAGTACTCATTGATAATGTTGAATACTAGCTTAATTCGGCTTTTAAAGTTGGAAACGAATAATTACTTCGTTAATATTATGTACTCAAAAAGAGCTTGTGGGTGTTTGACTTCTAGATTAATATTACATGTAAAGGTGAAAAGCTGACTTCCGGTTGAAATTCCTGTGTAAACTGTACATGTCTAGCTTTGCATACACTAAAACATTTGGTGGACTTGCACAATGAATTGTGTTGTAAATTCCTAAGCATTTGTACCAATTATTTTTATACATATTATTTTTTAATTACCTCGGTAAATTCCTTCAAATTGCATACTGCAGTTGCCATATACATAAAAGTGTTTTGAGTAGCGTGCAATGCATTTTAATGATATCTCAACTATTTGTTGAGTTTGGAACACTATAAAATTGAAACGCAATTTAAATAGTCATCGAATTTAGTATTGAAATTGGTCGATTTTTGTTTTGGGCGGCGAACACACATCATCCAATCGCAGTTCCAGTTTCTTAGCTGTTATTTGCATATCGGCCAACGTGGTCGTATTTAGATTGCATGCAAATTCACAATAAAAGCCATTAAATATAGCCGGCACATAAATTTGGCAAATGTTATTTTGTTTATAATCCATTTCATTATACTCTTGTTTACTGTGCCCCCAATCGGCACCCACAGAGTAAGAGAGATAGCTAGTGAGAGAGTGCGAGAGAGACTGCGATATAAATACGTCAACTGCAGGCAGTCTCTAATTATATTTTATAAGTAGTTCCCCTAAGCGGCCCAAATTGAGATATTGAACATTTTCCATTTCGGATCTGCTTCCATCTGCTAATTTGCACTCTCGACCTGTCCCAAGTCCCCCCACTACCATGCCTCATCCAATCTCGATCTATCCACTTAACCAAATACGAATTTCCTTGCCTCTACTGCTGATCGTGCCTCGTTCGTCGTAGCAATTTTCTTTTGACTATTCAGTAAAGTGGTGCGTCCGACTGTTTTATTTCTGTGCGTCGTCTGTGTCTTTGTCTTTAGTCTATAGTATAAACCACATATGTACTATATACACACACACACACACACATACACATAGATACGTACATAATTTGATTTCCAGAACGTGCCTCGGCCTGCCTCACTGGGCTCACAGGCCGGCGCCGCTGTTGACGTCAATGGGGAGCGTCGCTGTCTCTGTGCCAGGGAATTTTTGAAACCATTGCTGGAAAGTGGGGGAGACAGTTAGGCAGTCAGTCACTCAGTCAGTCAGTTAATCAGTTAGTCAATCCGTTGTTGCAGACCAAACTATTTGAAGAACTTATGTTGGCCTTGATGCTAAATTTAACATCTCTTGTAAAAGACTTAAGGCTATACACATTTTTCATTTCATTTATCTTAAGTGGAGATTTTAATTTGCAAAATTCAAGCAACTAGATATTTCAGTGTTATGTAACATCAAAGATCAACGTGCCATTTGGCAATAATTTATGAATGAAATCAATTAAGATTAAATGCGAACAACAAACTGGATATTAAACCGGCCTGTCCACCCATTACACATAGACTCGTTCCACTAAATGACAGCTCATTTTAATTAAAAGCGTCATTCAAACTGCAACGGCTGCATACCGAAACCAAAAGGAGCAACAAAATAAAAAACACAAAACGTTTTCCATTCCGACGCAAGTGCGAACATACATAATGCGATAAATGAGAGAGAGAGCTACCAGTTTCACTGTGGACATGCTGCAGCAGGCAATTAAAGGCGTCCCCCAAAACTGCCACAAATTTCATAATGCAGAATAAATGTGCGAGCGGGTGCGATAGAACTCTTGTATGTAACAACAATAACAAGAGCAACAAGTTTAAAAAGCTCTCTGTGTCTGCCTGCCTGCCTGCCTGCCGCCATGCATGCTGGCAATGCCATACAGTGTTCGAAAGCAGCGCAAAGAAAAAAGCGCTAAACATGCTTGGCTCGTCCGTTGTTATTGTTCTGGCTGCTGCCCGAGGTTTCTTTGAGGTAGGCAGTCGGTCCAAACACAAACAAGTTTAACCGCTCTCTCTCTCTCTCTCTCACTCTCTTTTTCTGTGTGCCTCTCTCTGATTTTATATCTCAGTGCACAAGCCCTGTGAGATATTTGTGCTTTTCATTCAGTTTTCGTGTCAGTTGTGTTCGTTGCTTCCGCGCGTGCAAAAGCTGAAAATCGAAGAACCGCGTGCACACTAGAAACACGCACGCGATTTCGGGGCGGTTATTAACGTCGCGATCTTTTTTTGTGTTGCAGAAAGTAGCAAGTAGAAAATTGTTGATCGTTGATTGAGCAAAAATGATTTTACCTTGATATGTGAACGCAAATAACAAAAGCATAAACATAAACAGTGCATAACCGAAAGGAAGAGGTAAAGAAGAAAGAAAAAAAGAAAACACTAATAAAAACAAATAAAAAGTAAAAGTATTTAAGCAGAATAAGACATAAAATGCTTGCTGTTGTTTATAGTTAAACTTTGTTGGCGTTGGTGGTTCCCGTTGTTCTTATTGTTCTTTTTTTTTTGCCATTAGATCGCACTTTGTTGTCTCTGATTAGCGTGTGTCTGTGCCTGAGTGTGTGTGTGCGTGTGTGTGTGGATAGGAAATGCTCGCAAATGTATCTCGCAGATAGTTTCTGCCATGTGTGTTGCTCGTGTGTGTTTTGTGTTTTTGCTTCATGCTCGATTGCTTCGATTATGCTTTGATTGCACCGTCACACACACACACAAATACACTGCCATTCAATTTATTTACTATTTGGCACTTTTATCTTTTGTACTCCCAGATCCAAGTGGCCAGCACACAGTTCCTAGACCCCGAACCCGAACCCGCACCCAAAAACCCAAACTGACGCATTGGCATGCTGCCAAACACGCTGACGTCGAAGTCCATTGATCAACCGGTTTTATGGTTGTTTTTTGTTTTTTTTTTAGTTGCTGTTGCTTTTAAATTTAACCCCATACGCATGGCAACTGTATTTAATGTTTAATGGCAGTTGTTGTTCCCTTTGTGTTGCCCACTGTTTATTTATGGCTTATCTTTGGCAGCTGTTATCAAAAACACACCAACACACACACACACACACGTACACACACACACATACACACTCACACTGCAGTTGCAACCTGACCCGCTTGGCGCCAAAAAAATAAAAACCACAAATCAAATGCGACTCGTATCGAATGCTAACTGCGTCATTTGGCTAAGGGTGGCAAAATGAAATCAAGAGCAACCCTTAAAAATCACCAACGGCAACTTTTGAACTGCCGCAGTATATTTTTTTTATGTAGTTTTTTTTTTTTGGCAACACCCACACAGTGCTTGCTAAACGCAGCGTCAAATTGCGAGTGCAGTCAAAATTAATCTGCAGCTAATGAGACACAATTCGGTGGCAGTTGTGGCAACTAATTAGCAAAAGACAACGAGCACGGCACAGATTTTGCAGCTGTTTGTTGCACTTGGTTTGTTTCACAACAACGGCAACAATAACAACAACAACGACATCGACAATGGCAATGGCAATGGCAATGGCATTGACCTTGAACCTATGCGCATTCAATTTGCCTCAACTGTACATTGTTGCACCTCAACTCATCGCATCGCATCGCTTCGCATCGCATCGCATCGAATCGAATCGCACTGGGGGCGTATGCGCAATATTAACAATATAAGCAAATTCACAGCTTTCACGATTATCTCTTCGCAATTTGAATAGAATATTGTTGAGCGTCTGTTGAGCTGTCGGGTTTTGTTGTTTGATTTGCTGCTGCTGTTGACTTTTGGCCCTTTTGCTGCTGCTGCTGGAGCGGAAATGCTTCTGAGTCGAATGTCATATTTATTTTCCAATTTAGCTGTCTAAGGCAGACTGCGACTGCTCTGCCAAAGCTGGCTGAGACTGCACTCAATTACATCCAGCTGAAAGGTGTCTCTGTGCACATAAACATGACCTTTAACAAGTTACTTGAAATAAAACCATAAGCGCCTTTCAGACAGAAAGTGCTGATATCTAAACAAACCAAAAAATTGTTATCAGCCAAGTTACATTTTGCAGTATTAATTCTATGACAACTCTTTAATGCGGAGCTTTGCTACAAACGATTGCTTTGTATGGAAGGCAAAAGAAGCATCTGACAAAAGTTTCGCTTTCTTGTTTTTATATAATACACGCAAGCTGGCCAAAGCCTACATAAGACTTGGCTAACTCCTTGTGAAATAAGTTGACTAACAGATTGGCTTTTGTGTGCCAGCCATTTCATCACTTAGCTCAATTAGTCAGTGTCACCGTGAACAGCCCACACAGATCGAACTCGAGACCCAATCCCAACCTGGTTGCAATTCTGTTTCTATTGTTGTTGTTGTTGTTGTATCTTTTCACACTTGCCTGGCCCACGCTTTTCTCTCTATCTCTCTCTCTCTCTCTCTCTGTCTCTGATGATCGTATTTGCTTTTGGATTTTGCATTTGCATCTGAAATGCTACCTAGAACAATAAACTTGCCTTATACAACGCGATCACCACACACATAAACAATGTTTTCTCATTCGTTGCGGGGAGGTGCGGGGGCGTGGCTACCTAATTAAACAATAATGAAACGCAAATAAAACAGCCAAACATTTTATGGCCCAGTGCTATCTGCAACACACAAATAATTGTCACGACTACATTAAAAATCACTCAACCATTGTCTCGTGTCCCATTTTACTTTTGCTTGGCTTTTATTATAACCTGAACCCATTCAAAATGGGTGAAAGGGGTATAATGATCGTCTTTACTTTTTGCATATTCTTGATTAGTATATTCCATTTGCGTCTTTATGAATTTGCATATCTCAGAGACTTTAAAAACTACACTCTTCAAATGTAAGTTCTTGTATAACTGCTCTCGTTTCGCGATTATCGATAAATATCGATTTCCGTAGCAGTAAAAGCGATAATTTTGAAGACAAAGCCTTCTAATTGATTTATAATAAACACTGATTTCATCGAATACAAAATGAGAGCAAAGCTTTTTAAAGAGAAATTTTGACAATTGAACTAGAATATTATATTTAAAAGCAGTTTGCAGGGTATATTATAGTCGAGCTCACTCGAGTACAGCATTCTGAGTTGATTTGATTATGTGTGCGTGTGTTGTGCAAAAATGCGACTCTACACGAGGAAATTCCCCCATGCCCAACTTGCCCCTTGCTTGCAGTATTCATTTAAATCGCATAAAAACCACATAAAAAAGACGTTATCTGTTGTCAGAGCCAGTTATGTTCTTAACATTTTGTTTGTTGTTATTTTTGTTGTTGTTGTTGTTGTGGTTGCACGTTTTTTATGTTAATTGATAAATATTATAATTTTTTAATGAAATTCTAGGCGCAAATTGAAGCCGAAAAACCTTGAAATACTTTTAGTATTTTCGAATTTAATGTAATTTTCTACATTATTTAAATGACATTGATTTTGGACAATTCAAATGTATAACGCTAATTCCCGGATGCTTTTTATATGTGATTTGCGAATATATGTAAATATATGCAAAGATTTTATTCAACAGAAAAGTCTGAAACGGTTTTCTTCGACATATCAAAATATATCGTATTATTATGACTAGGCCTATAAAAATGCTTTCCCCTTGAAAGCTTTTTTTTTTTTTCAAAATTTGATAAATTAATATATCGTTAATTGTGTTTCTACAAATTAATAATAAAGATCTTAGTTAAATGTAATTTATGCAAATGCTTTTAACTCAAAGCGACAGCCAAATTTAGTCAGATTTCTTCGTAGCTGATTTGTCAAATGACGATGCGAACAGAAACAAAAAAAAAAGGCAAATAAAACGAAGACAAATAAAAATAATAATGCTGATAATACCGGTAGCCAGTCGGCCCTGGGGGGCATTGAGGCATCATCATGTATATTCCAAATGATTAACTTTAAGAGCTGTAAACGTCAACAGGGTTAAGCATGTAAATTAGTCAAGAGATTGTCGCATACCAAAATGCATGCGGCTTAAACAATAATAAAACTCAACATAAACATACCTAATGCTATACAACGATTCATTGTTCAACGGTTTCTTGGAAATGCGAAAGGAATTTTATATTTATGCATGAATATTGAACGAATCGAGCCAATTTGATGGTGTCTGCTGGTGAATGGTGATTCGGTGGGTGCTGCTGGTGCGGGCAGTCAAAACAAACAATTAAACGGGCATAAAAATACCAAGAAAACTAAAGAAAGAAACCACAACACGGCTCCAAAAAATAATAATAATGTCACGTGTATCTGTGTGTGTGTGTGTGCGTTGGTGAGAGGGTAAAAGTTCAAGAAACTTTTCATTAGTTTCACATGCAAAGTGCGCCAGCAACAAGAACAAAATTGGTCAACAGACGACGAAGGCCGGTTAATTAGGTTCAGGTGCTGGCTGAGTTGGGCGACTGGTGAACGTCGTGGAGCCTGGGGGGCACAGCTGCGTCCAGAAGGCGACACAGCTCTGGCTATGAGCGAATCGCGTGTCATATTTAAGCCACACTGCCGCGCCCAGTTCTCGGCACGAGCGTGTGTGTGTGTGTGCCTTTGTGTGTGAAATATGGAGCGCGCGTGGCATGCCACCATAAAAGCAAAAGAACAAAAAAAAAAGTTATAAAGCACGCAACAAACTGACGTTGCGACCGCCCGCCGTTGGTAGCACAAAATCCGGCTAAAATCAATATAAAGCTCAAAGCCATGTTCAGACTGCCCAAAAACGAGCAGCCAAAAATGAATCACAGACAGGCTTTAAAGATATATATATATAAATATATATATATATTTGCCATCCAGAGATTTCCAGTGAATTGAAAGCCGGAACGGTTCCAAACTAGGCAGCGTCTGTTGGCAGCCGGCTACCGATTTGGCCAGACAAATAAGATGCGTCAATATTTGCATTAGGTCAACAAGACAAATGGGGCTGCTGCTGCTGCTGCCCACGCAGCTGCTAATTGTGGCATGACTCTCAAATTGTACAAGTGGATAGATTAAAACATCATCTTATCTTCTAGTTAAACAACACAATACTTTTGCAGTTTAAAGCAGTTACATGTAATTTATTACATTGATTGTGAACTCCTATTCGCTATATACATTTAAACAAATAAGCACAATACAAATCTTAAACAAAATTTCAACAAAAAAAAATGAACGATATACAAAATGTAAACATTTGTTAATTGCACACCAGCTGTGTAAATAATACTAAATAATAATAAGAGGTAATTATAAATCAATCAGAGGTTGTGCACATATCACATAAATAACTTAAAGGAACGAAAACACACACATACATACACACAAATACATATATAAATATATAGTTAATATAAATTAGGAGGCACTCTGCGTGCGCGGCAAGTACAAAAGATGCGAGTACATTTCTTTGTATATAGGGACAAGTAGAAATACAAATTTATATATATATATATGTATATATATCACACACACTCTATACGAACGAACACAACACAACACACAGGCACACACAAGTGCAGCAGTTGTTGCCACGTTTATGCTTTGATCTTGCGGCCCAACTTGGTCACCGCATATTTGGTGCCATCGCGTCCAGTTGAACTGCTGCCGTGCGAGTTACTGTGTTGTGCCTTATGCTTGCCACCAATTCCATTGCTCTTGGAGCGCGTCTCGAAGAGCACGTCCGAATCCGTTTCCGATTCGGTCAGCGAAGTGTTGCGCGAATCTAAAAGCGAAACAAAGCAGATATAGATTTATGCAGTTTGTGTGTGCCGTATTACTTACAATTGGCCGCCTCCTCGTCCTGTGTGCCTATCAGCGCATACTTTTGCACCTTTTGGCGCATGCGCGGCTTCTTTGTTGTGCGGCAGGCGCAGGCAATGCCCCAAAAGATGCCAGACAGCAGCAAACAGCCGCCAATCACGCCCACAAACACATATAAAATCGACCAATCTAAGAAAGGAATATAAATTAAATCGATATTCTTGCAGAGAATATTATTTATATATATATAGCTACCGCAGTTGGCCTCATCGTTGGCAAAGAAGTAGCTGGCTGTCGGCATCCAGAAGGCTTCGCAGATGCAGGCTCTTGTCGCTGGATTGCATCTGCCATGGCCGGAGCAATTGTTTTGGCACACTGTGGTGCGTATGTCCACATAGAGTGCACCTAATATGGAGGCGTCCTTCTGCAGCTTGGCACGCAGCATTCGCTCCACATGCAGGCCATCCACTGGCTTCGCCGGTGCTCCGTTCGCCATCACATAGAAGACCAGCACGGCTGCCTCTGTGTGCAGGTCGTGCTTAAGCTCTCGAATTTGTATCTTATTGTCATCGCCCAGCAGCAGCTGCAGCTTCTGCACAATGGAGTCCAGTTCGCTCTTGGTTATCACCGATATGCCCATGGGCAGTGTCATTTGCACCAGATACATCAGCATCGGATCGGCATGCACATTAATGCTGACCGTATCCGTGCCCGTCAAGCCCTGATCATCGCTCACAGTCAGCTTGAAGACATAGCGACCCTGTACAACATTGCTGAGCTATGAAAAACAAGGGGGGGGCAATCTATGAGAAGCTGTTAGGAGTCGAGTCAAAAATGGGCTTACAATCATAATTGGCTGCTTGTCGGTGTCGCCAATGATGACGCCAGCGGCTTGGCTGGTATCCTCACGTGTCCACAGGTATTTCACCACTGCCAAATCATCTGAAGACTGCGAACCATTCAAATAAATAGCGGTCACGGGCAAGGTGATGGTGCGATCTCCACCAGCGTTTGCAATTGGCGCCGCATTGCGTTCTGCAAGTTGTCAAGTTGGCAATGAGCAGAACAGGGAAGAAATTGGCTTGATGAACTTACCCTGCACAATCTTTACCCAGGTGCTGTCTGCTGCGGTATTGTTGTTCTCATCGGCAACTCTCAGCTCGAACTCGTACAGACCCAGAGTAAGGCTAGTAGCATTGGCAATCTGTGAAAAAGATAGATTAGATTTGGATTTAAAGTGAATCTTTAGTTATTTACCGAGTTGTTCGATTTGAGTATGACGGCATTGTTGGGTCCGCTCAGCTGTTTCCATTGATAGCTCTTGATGCCAATGTCATCTTTCGATTCGGAGCCATTTAATGTGGCCCAATTGAGGGGCAAGCTGATCGTCTAAATATATAGCAACAATATCATTAATATTTATTTAATCATTTATTGGCATTCAATTGCAAACTTACTGAATTGGCGCCTGCTTTTGCTGTGGGCGGTGAATTCGTTGGAGGCTTCACAAAGACGTGAACTTTGGCGGTGCTCGATTGCTTGCTGCCGTCGGTGACCTTCAACACAAAGGTGTACATGCCCTCCTCCAGGTTGGACAGCTGCACGTAAGGAGTTCTCGTGTTCTGCATGTCCACGGCCTTGGCCTCATCGCTGGCATCCTTGGTCCACTCCCATTCAACGATTTCGTGATCATCGGAGCTGGCGGTGCCATTGAGGGTGACATTATTATTGGGCAGATATAAGATGACGGCATCGCCTGCATTCGCCACCGGCGCATAGTCTGTCTCCTTGAGCACTGCTATGGTCGCCGTGGTGGAATTGGTCACATTATTCGAGTCCGTCACGGTCAGCTTGAAGGTGTAGTTGCCCGGCGAGATCAGATCCAGCTGCAGGGTGTTCACCTCCGGCAATTGGGGCTGATAGCCAATGGGACCCAGAATGACCTCCCAGTGCCAGTTGATGATCTTGTCGTCGTCGGTGCTGGTGCTGCCATCGAGCACCGCATTCGAGGTGGGCTGTCGTATAATCTGTTCCCGCGGCGTGATAATCACCTGCGGTGCCTGATTGATGCGTCTCTCCGGCAGCACCGTCACATTGGCAGCCGCCTCGCCAAAGGTGCCATTGTCACCGGTGACGGTCACCTTGAAGGTGTACAGGCCTTCCGAGAGATTCGAGAGTTTCACCTTCGCGTTGCTCTGATCGGAAATGGTGCCATTCATGGGTCCCTTCGGCTGCGAAATCAATGTCCATAGATATTTGTATTTGGTGCCACTTGTCTCCTCCTCGGGCACTGTGAATGCGGCCAGTGTTACCTCCTGCTCCGGCAGCTGCACCTCCTTGGACATGACCGACACAGTTATTTTGTTCGCCTCCACTTTGCTTGCCGGCGGCACAACAAGCTCGGGGGCAATCTCGCTGCCAGCTGCCAGCTGTTGTGTGACTTCGGCGGCCCCATCAATGCCGGGCAAGTAGGCGCTGTAGGCCATCGCGGGCATGACGCACTTGTTCTGCTTATTGCGCACGAATCCGTGCTTGCAGCTGCACAGACCCGTCACCACATTCGCCTGAAGGCGCACACACTGCTCCTGCGGCGGGCAAGGTGTGTCCACATCGCAAGCCATGAATTTCGCATTATTGGGCAGCTCAGCAGTGCCGCCATAGTAACTGAGATCCTCATCGTTGTCATCGGACTGCTGCATCAGCAGTTGCTTCATGCGTTTCTCCGCCAAAGGAAAGGCATCATCTTCATCGTAGGCCAGATTGCTTTCCTGCATGGGCAAAAGATTAGATTAGATGCCGTGAGGTGGATTCTGTTTGCTCACCTGAAACTGTAATCGATGCGGCTGCTTCCAAAAGTTAAGCTCCGAATCGTAGGGTAAAATTTCGGCGCTCGGCTTGGTGGCCTTGAGCAGCTGCGTCCATGACTCTTGCGGATCACTGGCCACCGGATTAACGAGTACCATTTGGACCTTATCGTTCTCCCGCTCGCGGGTCAACGGTTTGGGCAAACAGGCCTCATTGCTGGCGCAGTGGATGTGATAGCATTTGCGCTTGAAGACCAACACCACATTGCAGGCACTCTGATTCTGTGACTGGGATTTGTCGCAGCACGCCTGCAGGCAGTTCCACAGATACCGTTCCTCGTCGAACAGTTGCCCCTCCTCAGGTTTGTACTCCTCAAAGACGCCCGCCTGCTGCTCGTCGCGTGGCGTCGCATTCTCAAAAACGTGGCGCAACATTCGCGGACAGATTGGCAATTGCTGCTTGGCACTTGCCGCTGCCGTCAGCTCCTCTTGTTGTTTGCTGCCCGTCGACGATAACAAAGCGTTTTGCGTTGTTGTTGTCCCAACTGCCCCCATTCCCCCCACTCCTGTTCCCGTTCCAGTCATGACGTCGCCTGCTGCGCATTTGGCTGACGCCATCCAGAGCCAGAGACACAAGCAGCTATATTTAGCGAGGCTTGCGCGTTCCATTTCGTTGTTGTACGGCTTTGAAAACTACTACCTGCGTTTAACTTTGAGCCGCCTTTGTGCAATTTTTCCACCTTAATTTGCATAAATTAATACATTTTTATCAAGAACTCCAGTCGCTGTGGCCAGTGTGGCATTAACTATAACTGGCAAAAATACCAAAAATTAAGCGCACTTACCGAAACAGCTGTTTGGTTCTTATGGGCAACTCTGCATGCAGAACTTACACAACCAGTGCTGTAAACTATCGTCGTGGCAATATACGTTAACTTTTGAAGCTTACAGCGGCTAAAGCACAAGCAAAAAGCTCTTTCAGCAGTTAACGCGTTTTCTTTGCGTGTTTATGGCGTGTTTTATTGCCTGACAACTGATGGAAAAATAAATAAGCAAAATCTCAGCTTGTTTACATAATTTACATTTCGATTACTTATGAAATGGCAAATATTGATTCAAGAACGCAAAACGGCTGAAACTGGTCTCGTGCGCCCACACATAATAATAATAAAATTATATATATGAAATTGCACATTGACTGAGAAACGAGCTCAATTATCCGCAACGAAAACCACAATAACAAAATCAATGGGACGCCCACGCGTAATTGGAATTTTAATCACAAGCGACTGTCTTAAATCACAATATTATTAATTATGTACATAACTGCAAACAAATCGCAAAACTGCCAGCGGCTTGTTTATCGAGCATTTTGTCGATGCTAAATCAAAGCGAAGCGAAGCTTTTATGTAAATAGAGAAATCGCATAATGCACGACAACAAATTAACAACACAAAACGATAAATAAATCAATGCATTAAATTTAAAATTCTTTTATTGTTCAACAATTAATGCTTCTTTTTTTTTTTTTTTTGATTTTGCTTTAGCTTTTGGGTTTTTATCTCAAGCGCTTTGCATTGATAAATAGTTCGCAAGGTGCCATAACTGCTACAGTTTGACATGCTTTGGCGCGAAGCTTTGCAATAATTAAAATTGAAATGCTATTTTTGGATGCTTAAGTGAATAAATCAAATAAATTCCACTCAAGTGTGGCTGAAATGATAATTATTATTGTTGTTTAATTTAAGCATTTCCAAGTGTTTTGTCATTCCCAAAATGCAAATCACGTTATCTCTTTATGACTCCAACCACATTATTACTATTGACATATAATATACATATATATTTTGCACGAATATTTACACCGAATGAGAACTGCTCTTACCGCTCTACTCATAAGACCATGCCATATATGGTGAAACTTGAATGAATACACATGAATGCTACGATATGAGAACGTAATCTGGTCTTTGCGTACAAATACATATAATATACATTTGTAGAATTAGTTCTTTAAGCAAAAGGGGTTTTCGAATTTGTTTGCTGATTAGTATGAAATATAATTTCAGATGGCAGACTTCTCGGATAGTTCACCGAGTGGAATGCTGAGTCCGGCGTCAACGCTCATTGAAAGTTTCAACAAGAAGAGTGGCTCGGCAACGACCACGCCCCTCTCCCTGCCACTCACCAGCTCCACGAGCAGCAACATGCTGTGCAACAACAATACGCCCACACTAAACGGTGGCAACACAAACGGAGGAGTGGGTCCCCTCAGCGGGGGCAGCACAACAACAACAACAGCAGCAGCAGCAGCAGTTACTGGTTTGGGCGGACGACAGATAAATACAAGTTCGAGTTCTTGCAGTAGTCTTAAGGAAACCTCACATCAGTCCACATCCACATCACAGCAGGTAAGTCAAAAACTAGGCTAAACTACGCAGATAGTAAATAAATAAATCTTGGGCAATGTTTGACAATTGTTTGATAATTGATAGACTCAACTCGACTCGACTCGGCGAGGCTCACACATAATTTATGGAGCGCAAATCAGTTGGCCTTTGATCAGCTCACGCACATTACCTCGTCTCTATTTTTAAACAATTACTTAAGTCAAAAAATGTAAAATATATACACATATGATGACCCCACCCCACCCCGCCCCACCCCATCCCTACAACCTGATAAGCAAAAAACAGCAACTGTAACAATTCCCTTCCGATATGGAAACAGTTGGCGTTGAATTCTGATTAGATTATGTTTGATTTTTTTTCCTTTCTGATTGGCGTCGCAGCGGCTGCTGTGTGTAGAAATCAATTAATGTGTGTGCCGATTACTTTGAAATACTGTGAACACTTTGTTATATTTGTTATTTGTATTCGTATTGATTGGGCAAAGTCATAAAATTAATTGCACATAGCCATAGCCAGCTCATAAACATTCTCATTATTTAGATAGATAAACGCATTTTTTTTGAAATCGTGCCGCTTGCCTTAATTTTATATTTAAACATTTAACAATCCAGTAAAATTTCCCACATATTATTTTTTTTTATGAGCTTAGATTAGATTGCTTTAGCGGCATTTGCATGCCAAACTTGGTTCCCTCGTTTGATAAGCGTACTTCCCATCCAAATAATAACTTGAAGTGTGACAAGTGTGTTTTTTCTTGTGTAGTTGTTGTTGCTGCTGCTGCTGCTTATCTTTGTCAACGCATTGAATCACTTGCTTTGAAAATAGTCGCTTACACAGGGCGCATTTTGACGTTGCCTTGGTCAAGTTTTTTCGGTTGATTATTAATTGACTTGCCCATCAACAGTTATGCCTATCAAATGGCGACAAGCTCACAGGCATTAAAATAGTCACTTGTGTAATCATTTCGAACAATTCAACGTTCAAAACTCGACGCAGGCATCTCTTTTCAGCTTGCTTGCTCTTTCTGCTCCGATTCTGCTATGACTCATTTACCGGTAGTTGTTGTTGCTGCGGCTGCGGCTGCTGCTGCTTCTGCTGCCGGCATCACGTCGACGTCGTCTTTGGCTCGTGACGTTTGTGTCGTTTGACGCTTATCATTGAGGCGGATGCTTTTCTTCTTTTTAGTGTTCTTCAATAGATAATCGCTGCTTAAGTTGCTTATTGATGAACAATATTTATATATTGTATTATTACATTTATTTTCTGCGAAACGATATTGTTTGACTCTTTATTAGCTGTTGTCGTTGCCTGCTCAATGCCTGACATGTGAATTTCTTGGGAAAAAGCTTTAATTTTAGAACGCTTAAGAAAGGACTGATATGGTCGCCGTTGTGTTTCCCAGAAAATACAGTGATTGTAATATTAAAACGAAAATTATAAATAAGCAATTTCTACATATCGTATAAGTATGAATAGGCTTAGCATATTAGCAGTGCCATTTTAGATAAAACCTTCATTTGGTGGCACCAACCCAGAGTATTGCGGAGGTGTTTGAAGAAACGAAAGAAACAATCTGATGACGCATCGCTGAATAAGACAACAAAAGATGGTGAAAACTAGGGATTATTGGAAGCATAACAAGAAGCTGCAATATTAATATATATTAACAGCCCAAATATGTAACCAACAATGAACTTAATTTATGACAATACAGTGATTTATTGCCAATATTTTATTTGTTATTTCTAATTTTCTATCATAGATAGATACAATTTCGAATATTTAATATTGAAGAGCTGTTTAAAGTTGGTAGTTTTTAACTACGACTGAGCAGAGACGATGCAAATTAGAAATGCCAATTGTTTGATTGTACATAAATTAACATACAAATGTGTGTAAATAAATGGGTATGTTAAATAAGCAACGAATTGCCATCAAAACAAAAAATCGACTAAGTAATTATGAATATAAACACATTAAATAAAACAAAACACAAACACAGTCTCAGCCACAGCAATAATCTGCTGCTTAACTGGCTGGTTGTTAAAAGAGCGACGCTAATCGAGTGAGTAAACAGCGCACAAAACGAGCTGAAAGATACAAATTCTCAGTTGCAAAGTGGAAACAGCATCCACATAAGATTTAATTGAATCTTTAAGCCGAACGCGTTAATTAGAAAGAAAGAAAAAAAAACAGCTTTAGCTGAAACGTGAGTCTGTCGCAGAATTATGGAAATGCACGAATACACTGCATAAATTAAATAATAGATAAAATAATAAGCGACGCGTTCTTCTACTTGTTTGTATAAAAGTTGCCGGCGCGAGAACATTTACAGTACGATTTCCTAGAATTCTCAGCGCAGAGCTCACGTCAACGTCAACGTTGTTGTGCTTTAAATGGCCGTACTGCTCGCACCCACAGCGATCGCTGTTGGCAGCGCCACTTTAAAATGAAATGACAATCGGCCCGTTTTGACGCCGGCAGCGCTAAAAGCTCAAGCTCGCTGCTAGAGCCTCCCATCGGTTGAACGCTAGAAATTCACTCATTTTACTTTAGTTAACGAAACGAACGAGAAGCGAGCGTCGCGCACAAAAAAAAAGAAACAAAAGCAAACAAGAAAAAAAGCAGCATTGAACGGACCGACACAAAAATCCTATTTAATTGTTAGCGTGCAATGATTTTTTTTTGTGTGACGGCAGCGCCTCATACATAATATATTCACATATAAATTCAGCAATAATTTGCATATTAATTATTTGAAACGAAATCGAACGAAAAGCGCAACGTTTCTTCAACAAACTGTTGCCAACATTAACGAACAATTAAACGAACTCTACTTTTGTTATCAGTATTTTCTGTACAAACGAAAAACGAACAGCATAAAAGCAAAATAAAAATAATACGACAAAAAAAAAAATAATAAGAACTCTCAACGATTATTATTTGAGTGCCGTTGGGAATATTCGCGGCAAGCGTGAAAAATATTAACTCTCGAAAGTTCAATTCAGTATGCGAAGCGTTTTTGCAGCGTGTGAACCAATTAACACGAAGACCGCGTTACCTTAGTAAAAAAAAAACATCTGGCCCAAAGCAAAGTACGAAAGAAAATCAGTAAAACAACAAAATAAATAAATAAATATTTAATATATATATAAAAACATAGCACACAAACAAATTGTTAAAGAATTGATTTGTAAGCGTACAAAACCAAAGGCAGATATTTACATATACATATACAAATTGTCTGACCGACTGTGTTTGTGTTTGTGTGTGTGTGTGTCCGCTGATAAGCCCCCCACAAGGCGTGATTTAGTTTAGAATACACATATATTATATATATGACAGAGTTAAGACTGCTATCGCAACGTAGGCGTATACGTAATATGAACTTTAATTGAACATATTAAGGAATTTCTAGAAAGAACCCAAAAACAAAAAGGGCTATCGCGATAACCGACATCGGTTAGTATAATGCGTGTGTGTGTAAGTGTGTAAGTGTGTAAATCTGTGTGTAGACCAATACATAATATTGATAAATTAGTAAATGACGCAGTGTTTAAAACGTTAGGGTTCTCTCGTATCTAATCTCTTGACTTCATGTCCAAGTAACGCCTAGCCCCAAAGAACTGGTCGCCCCCGCCCTGCCCCCTCCACTCTCTCTCTCTCTCTCTCTATCTCTCTCTCTCTTCCATGACTATACAATAATATTTACTAACACACAACGGGAACAAGAAATGTGTAGAAAAAATAAAAAAAACAAAAAGAGAACGTCGATCACACTTGCCACTTGGGAATTTTTTTTTGCCGTTGTCAATTGTGATAAGTCGAATTAGGTATACCTCGTATTATGCCATAAAACCTAGCCGCACATATCATTCCAATTATTGATTATGTTTTACGAAGCTTGAAGACCGTAACAACAAAATATTTACTTTGTGTCTATCGACATATCGACACATCGACACAGAGCATACGTTATATCCAAAACAGGCCAATTATCATTATAATATTTATAAATGTTTTATTAGTCAACGTTTCGAGCCATATAAAAACTATATGGGAACAACACCCACACACCGATTTTCGGCATGTTGTTCGTTTTGGCTCTTCTGCTCTTTTCAAGTCTTTTCAAGAAACACACATACACAAAACGCGCAAAATTGAAATCCGTCCAAAATTAGAATTGACTCGTAATGTTGCTACATTTGTCAAAAAAAAGCAAAAAAAAAAAATCGAAATAAATAAATAATGAAGAAAAAACGAGACTTTTGCTCGATCTGTGGGTTGCCGTGTTGTGTTTTCCTGGTTTCTGACAACCTTTTCAAAAATACTTGAGAGCTAAATATTTCAAATACAATCCAATTATTGTGTGTCTAGCCTTTATTGTGATTGCGCATGAATAGAATTGAAGTAGATTTTTCGCGAAAATAGCCATTGAGGAATGCTCTTCAGAAATGGCCACCATATCGATTTTGATGTATGAGATTCATTTGTTTTTCTTGCTAGAAGACAGTTTTAATGACAACTTACTGTCAATATTTGATTTTTATAGATGATATTGGAGCTCTTATTCAATACTAGACAAACTTGAACTTGTTCACACTTGACGAAAGATCGTTATAAGCTTAAAGCTTTAAATCGCCTCAATTCATCGCACTTGTTGCACTTATCTATTGACAGACTTCCCCATTCCATTGTGTCTGCTGATAATCCCTGATTATTGTCGACTTTGTAGAGAAGTTTTTGCATATGCAAGCAACGGTTGACAGCTGATGTGTATCTAATTAAGTTAGAATAAACGCAATCTTATCTGCACTTCGACAATAAAATACTCGGCGCCAATAAATTTAAAAATGCTAAATCATAAACCATTGTCAGACAGAAACGTTGCTAAATAAATAGGAGACCATCTAGGAGGGGGCAAAGCCAAGTAGTGGGGCAATACTACGATCTCGTAAAAAGACGACGCCAAGCGCCTGTCATAAAAATAAGCAGCCGATTGCGATAGAGATACATATATATGTTTATATATATACATAAATATCGGACAAATAGCACAGAGACACATAAATTAGGCCCACTTTGCAAATATTTCGCATATGTCTGCGCTGATTCAGTGTCACTGAAAATAAAGGAATTAACTTGTGCTTAAATATTTTGATTGTTATTAATCTCTCTCTCTCTCTCTCTCTCTCTCTCTCTGTTTCTCACTCTCTCTCTCTGTCTCTGTCTATACTTATTACAGGTTGTGAACAGCAGCAGCAGCACAACGACGCGTGTGGAGAAGAAATCGCAGCGTTTGCATCACATAACATCATCATCGACGACACAAGCGTCATCATCGTCATCGTCTTCCTCGTCATCAACGTCTTCGGAAATGAAGGCCGCCGCCGTCAAGCGCGATCTCACTGATATTAAAATGTCCATGTCGGAAATAGAACGTCTGACAGCGGCGCCAACGCAAACGCGACACCATCCATCGATTGATGACCTTAAGGGTCTCAATAGCGAAGATACCATAACGCAGTTGAAAAAGAAGTGAGTAGTTCATCCATCCATCAATCAATCAATCAAACAATCATCGATCAGCTTAAGAACTTGATGTTAAATCATGTTAAACTCTTGCAGAATGCGTGCCTCAATCGAGAATCTAGTTGATGGCAATGATGATGGCAGCTGTTACGGCATTGTAACGACTCCGGATGGCGATGATGATTGTTGCACACACAAACATTTTGGCAACGGTTTGGATTTAACGCATCCAACTGCCACACAGCTGAGCGCCAGCAGTGGCTTAAGTGGCTCGAATAAAACGATTGACACCATCAAGTTTGAGGAGAAGCGTTCCAAATCGATGGCCACCACAAAAGTGGTGGCCGATGGCTTCAGCTCCGAGCAGGCGACCAGCAATTCAGCGGAAATGAAACGTCTCCAGGCTGGTGACATTGATTACAAAGAGGCTAAGGCTGCGTCAGCGGTTCGAAATCGTCTGGAAGTGGATGGCGTCAAAGCTGAGGAGAGTGCAGCCGTCATGCAGGTGAGCAATCAATCAATCAATATCGCAATCCAACCAACAGTAGTCACTTGCTTGTTACATGCTGCAGACCACCAAGTTATTGTTATAGTCATTGAACCCTCTCCCTCCCTGTCGCTCAGCGGGGAAGCTTTGAAAGCTTTTGCAAGCTAGTGACGCAGCAGGGCAACCACTGGCAAAGTTCAAGCATACCAGTGAACAATCGTTATGCCGGCCACTCCTTTCAGTCGAAGTTCGTCGCTTGCATGTTAGGGTCGCATAAAGGGGCACGCTTCACCAAAAAAAAAACAGAAAAAAAGAACGACTGGGAACGTTTAATGGCGCGAGCGAATTGTGAAAACTGTCCCGAGTGAAGTTAGTTAAAATTGTTGTCCTTGCTCGAAGAAAAACAACAGAGAAAATCGATATTTCTACATGTTTTTGCTGCGCCAAAAAGTAGGCAACAGTCTGCTTCGAAATAGCATCGCGTATACGTAATATGTTTTTTCGGAACCAACGTCCGCTCCAGTGGAGCCCACACTTAGTGCGACATTTGAGCAAGGACAAGAAAAAGGGTTCCATGCTAAGAAGAATTCAGGTAATAATAATCATCGACATCGTTGCACCTTAGCTGCAACCCCTCGTTTCCAATGGCGACACAATGTTGTGGCTTATCTAATCGATAAGCGGGGAGCCCCATGATATATTAGCATAAATTGTTTTATGATGCGGCTCATTAAAGGTTGTCAACAACGCAATTCGAACTGGATGATGAAATGTTATGCAGTCTATTGATTAAATAGAATCTCGCTTAAGGTCAAATAGTCAGCTACTACTAATAAATAACTTATCATTGATAAATTGCAAGCAATATAAATAAGTTAGCTGGAAAATCCTTGCTGTACAATTGATGATTCTGATTGTCTACGAACCTGTAGTCTAGCAGATGGGCTAATACAATAGACTCTTGTTGCTGGCATTTGGCCAACAACAGACACGCTCCATGTGGGCAGACTTCTAATTTTTATGCCCCAATCAGCAAAAAGATTTTGATGTAGCTGCGCAGTCAAAGACGTTTTAGATTCATTCGAACGATTAAAAGTTTAAATTGCAAAGAAAAAAAGATGCATTAACATTAAAAAAAAACTTTGACCAAATGCTCACAATTAGCAATATATATATATATATATATAATATATTTTTTGATTTATTGCGCTATTTGCGCTCTGATATTTCTATAGAATTTTCACTCAGTCAACCGAAAGGGGCAAAGGCTGTATTTTATTTTCGAAAATTGTTCTTTTAAATAAAATGCCACTGAGCGTTGCTCAGTTCTCAGTTCCCCGTTCTGAGTTCTCAGTTCTCAGTTCAGTATCAGACAAACGATCGACGCGAGCGTTACGCTTTAGGCGAGCAATTTTAAATAATCGTTTTGCATATACGAATATAAATACGGAATTTATATATATATATGTATATATGTGTATATATATAAGACATGTGCTTATATATTTGAATACTATAATATAGACTCGAACATTGCATTAATTTGTCTATTGGCACTAAAAAGATTGGCAAAAGACAACGACTACGACTGCTTTAAGGAAATACCTTATACAAAAAAAAAAAAAACATAACAAGACGACGAAGCGAACTAATCGACAAAACAATACATATTTAGAACCTGACCTTCTGGGTGGCTCACTTTTAAACACAACACATAACACTTGTGCCGACACCACAAAAACAACAACAAAAATAAAATAAAAACAAAAGCAACAAATTTCGGAATTTCATAAATTTCACGTTGGCTGTGATGAAATTCTGAGTGCTCAAAAAAAAAAAAAAAAAACCAATGAAAATCAGAAATTAAACTAAGCAAAAAAACACTATGAAATATATTTGCTGGTGCTCAAAGTTCCAAAACTCGGCGAAACGTAAAACTTTTCGAAAGCTCACCAATTCAAATAATATACAAAATCAAGAAAAACTTCAAGTTAAACCTAAACTATAAAGTAGATCAACCAACTGAACAACAAAGCATTATTAACAATGCGAAAATATGTGAGATATATGACAAGAATTCGTTTTTGTTTTTCTCTAAATATGTATGTGTGCATGTGCATGTATGTGTAGCGGAGCTAACAAGTGTCTGTCTCAGAATACATTTACATGTGCATTTCGAACATTCGTCAAGTTTCGTTAATTGCTATTATTGTTTATTAGCATAGCTGTGTTCAGCAGCTGTAGCTTCAGTAATTGAACAGTGCTGTAAAATATTACAAACTTAAATTGTCGGTCAGTGTCAGCAGACGCGCGCACACTCACACACTCACACACACAAACAGACACACACACAGACATATGATCGACACTCCCACAATCTCTCACACAGACAACAAACTCTTCCTCAGCGCAGCCAATTTGTGTGCTATTTTTATGTGAATGAAAATATAGAAATCAAACTGTAGAAAAAAAACAACAAGAACATTCATTTTCACGTTCACGCTGCGTTATATTTAAATACACATTTGAACAATCATCGAACTATTGAAAGAAGTACAAAAGAGCGAAAGATATAAAGCCCAAAAGGAAACATGTCCAATCAGCCGCAGCAGCCGCCTTGGCCCGTTCGCAAGGGCATCTTTCGTTCGAGTGGCCAATCAGATTTTGTGCCCAACAATCGTTCGCCGAGCCCCATCGTTGAGATGCCGCTGTCGCCACCGCCACCGACGACTGTGGGCACGCCCTTCAATCGTTTTGCCCACAACTCCCCACTGTCACCGCCCCCGCAACCAATTCAGGTGGTGACATCTGCTGCCGCTGGCAATGCCTCCATGTCCACTGCGTCCGCTGCCCGAATGTCGGGTGCATCGAGTAGCTCCTCCTCTGCTTCCGCCTCTGCCTGCTCCGCGCAATCGTCATCGTCTTCTAGCTCAAGCTCTAGCTCCCACACAAGAGTACGTAAAAGTTCTAATCCACCTTTGCAGCCAGTCAACACCGCCACCAACACCACCTGCCCTTTATCGCCACCACCCACCACAACAACCACACAATCGTCTCCTCCAAACAACAACCACAACAACAACAACAACAGCTACACAGCTGACATAAACTCAACGACAAACATCAACAGCAACAACAACAACAACCACAACAACAACCACAACAACAACAACAACAAACATGTACGCGAAATACCCATTGAAGTAGAACAGAGCAAGGTATAACAGCGGCAAATATTTAAACAATAGAAGAATATGTTAAAGTGAACAAAACAAAAGCTCCAAAGCAGCAGCTGTAATACAACACTGAATTAGTTTACTCGAGCGTTTAACATTTGTAACACTGTTACACATTTCAAGGGCAAGTGCTTAACAGTTCTGTTAAAATTTGCAAAACTGTAATTCGACTTGGTTAGCCTTAGACACAAACCGTTTCACAGCATGTAATGAGTACCGCATATGATTAACAGTTGTGAAACTGTCATACTGCGGGTCAGAAACCTTTTAGCAGCATTGATATTGCATCATTTTATGAAATTGTATTACTAATTGTTGCACGTTCTGTGTCACTCTTGCAGGAAGCGCTCTCGCTGCGCACAGGCGATATTACACAGCAGGCGAGCAACAAGGTGGCCGCGGCCAGTATTAAAGTGCACAGCGACAATTTCTCGGCCGATAAAAAGGCCATTTCGCAGTCGCAGCAATCGCAGACGATGACATCGAATGGCATCATTAGCCAGGAGAAGCATGTCTCCTCGGCATCGCAGGCCAACTATTCGATGACGCACAAGGGTGTTTCCAGCACGGGCAGCAGCATGATCTCTTCCACTTCGCAAATGTCTGCCACAAATGGTCAGGGGCTCAAGCTAAAGGATCTCAAGCTCGATGATCTGAAATCCCTGTCATCGGGCAGCGGCCAGCAGGAGATTGAGCAGGCCATCCGAAAGTATTCAGATGTGCTAACTGCCTTCGTCAGTTCGCTGCAAAGCGATGACAGCAGTCCAGTGTCCAGTGCCGGCGAAAAGAAATCCGTCTATCTGGAGAAGATCAACGAGGTGATCCGTCGCGCCTGGGCAGTGCCCACACATGGACACGAGCTGGGCTACTCCCTCTGCAATTCACTGCGACAGAGTGGCGGTCTCGATCTGCTGATGAAGAACTGCGTGCAGCACAACAGTGATCTCCAATTCTCGTCGGCCCATCTCCTCGAACAGTGTCTCACCACCGAGAATCGATCGCATGTCGTCGACAATGGGCTCGACAAGGTGGTGAATGTGGCATGCGTCTGCACCAAGGAATCGAATATGGAGCATTCGCGTGTCGGCACTGGCATACTGGAGCATCTCTTCAAGCATTCCGAGGGCACATGCTCCGACGTGATCCGGCTGGGTGGCCTCGACGCCCTGCTTTTCAAGTGCCGCACCAACGATGTGGAAACGCTGCGTCACTGCGCCAGCGCTCTGGTCAATCTTTCGCTATATGGCGGTGCTGAGAATCAGGAGGAGATGATTGTCCGCAAGGTGCCCATGTGGCTGTTCCCGCTTGCCTTCCACAACGACGACAACATCAAGTACTATGCCTGCCTGGCCATTGCCGTTCTCGTTGCCAACAAGGAGATCGAGGCGGAGGTCCTCAAATCCGGCTGTCTTGATCTCGTCGAGCCATTTGTCACCTCGCACGATCCGTATGTCTTTGCCAAGTCGAATCTTTCGCATGCTCACGGCCAGAGCAAACACTGGCTGGAGAGATTGGTGCCCGTTCTGAGTTCCAATCGGGAGGAGGCTCGCAATCTGGCCGCCTTCCATTTCTGCATGGAGGCGGGCATCAAACGGAAACAGGGCAACACGGACATCTTCCACGAGATCGGTGCCATTGAGGCCCTTAAAACTGTGGCGAGTTGCCCCAATGCGATTGCCTCAAAGTTTGCAGCGCAGGCGCTGCGTCTGATTGGTGAAACGGTGCCACACAAGTTGTCCCAGCAGGTGCCTCTTTGGAGTGTCGAAGATGTGCAGGAGTGGGTCAAACAGATTGGTTTCAATAGTTACCTGCGCCAGTTCGATGAATCCCAGGTGGATGGCGATCTGTTGCTCAAGCTGAACCAGGAGAACCTTCGCGATGACATTGGCATTACAAACGGCATTCTTCTCAAGCGCTTCGAGCGTGAACTGCAAAATCTCAAACGTATGGCGGACTACTCGTCCAAGGACACGGCCAAGATGCATCACTTCCTTGCCGAGCTCGGCCCCGATTACTGCACCTATACGTATGCCATATTGAATGCTGGCATCGATAAGTGCACCCTGCCCCATGTCAACGAGGATATGCTGATGACAGAGTGCGGCATCAAGAATGCCATTCACCGTCTGCGGATTCTGAATTCGGTGAAGAATCTTGAGAACTCGCTGCCCAGCTCATCCGAGGAGAATATGGCCAAGACACTGGACGTATTTGTCAGCTACAGACGCTCCAATGGCTCACAGCTGGCCAGTTTGCTTAAGGTGCGTTTCAGCCCCGATCTCTGCAAAGGATTGGCTAAATTCTGTACTCACTTTTTCAGGTACATCTCCAGTTGCGCGGCTTCTCGGTGTTCATCGATGTGGAGCGACTGGAGGCGGGCAAATTTGATAATGGCCTACTCAACAGTATTCGACAGGCAAAGAATTTTGTCTTAGTATTAACCCCAGAGGCACTGCATCGCTGCATCAACGATGAGGACTGCAAGGATTGGGTGCATCGCGTAAGTTCAAACCGGAACAATCCAATTGAATTAAGCTCATTTTTTTTGTTGGCTTCATTGATTCATTGATAGGAAATTGTTGCGGCTCTGAACGCAAATTGCAATATAATACCGATTATGGATCAGCAATTCACGTGGCCAGAGAATCTACCGGACGACATGTGCAGTGTGGCTCATTTCAATGCCGTCAGCTGGATACACGATTATCAGGATGCGTGCATCGATAAGCTCGAAAGGTATATAACCGGCACATTTAGGACTAAATGGATGACGACCAAATAATCGATCGATTAATTAATCTAAACTATATCTATATCTATATATTTATACATATACATTATGCGTACATATTTAATTTTAAAACAATTCCCACCCTTAATTCTTACCCTCTTCTGATGCGGCAGATTTTTGCGAGGCGAAAAGAATGTCGATCGCATCGCGGCGATGGCGCCCGGAGTGCCAGGGGGCTCATACCAAAGAATGCACAGCAACGATTCCGACTATCAGCAGAGTGGTGGCGTTGGCGGTGGCGGTGGCGCGGGCAGTGTGGTGGATGGCCTGATGGCGGCCAATGGCAGCGGACAAGGTGGGCCAACGAGTACAACAACAACTACTACTACTTCAACCAATCAGAATCCAAACTCGAATTCAAATTCGAATTCGAATGCGAATGCGAATCAGCGTAGACTAGGCCACCGAGAGCACTTAGGCTAGCCTCGAATATACTTACTTACTTACCTACTTACCAACTTACCAACTTACTTACTTACTTACTTACTACTACGATATCCATCCTATGATTTAAGCAAACAAAAAACAGAAATCCTCAAGCAAGATCAACTCGTTAACTTGGGGACTGCTCTAGGCCGTTGTTCAGTCAAGACTTTCATAAAAAAAAATGTATATCTATTTAAAAACGGCATTGACAGCCCCCCCTCTCTCTCACACACGCACACGCACACCCACATACAAACACACTCACTTTCGCACACACACATAACTCTTTCTCTCTACTCTAAACGAAAAACCAACTTAATTAATAATTAATTTAATTCTGATTGCAAACTCGAAACTCGATAATTCACGAGCAGCTAATCACCAGGCAAATAGATACCGGCAATCACCCTCACCAGCCCGCCAGCGCGGCAGCACCTCCCTGCTGAGCTATGGACGCGGCCAGACGAAGCGCTCCAATATGCTGCCACCGTATCGCACCCAGCAGGCGGCGCTGCTGCACAAGTCCGGAGCTGGGTCGGCATCGATGCAGAATATGATGCCACTGGCATGTTTGCCGCCACGTCGCAGCTCTGCTGCCGGACTGGGGCACAATGCCAGCATGGCGAATGGCTATCGATCGCACAGTGTGGATGGGCTGCTGGATCAGGCGGCGGCTAATAGTCATGATAGTCTGAGCACGCCCGAGCAGCGGATTGCGGCAGCGGCAGCTGTTGTCACTGCTGGCAGCACAGCGCTAACGAATGCCAGCTCCACGTGCACACTGCAGCCGGAGGAGGAGGAGGACCTGGCGGATGATGGGGATGATCAGTTGGTCACGAATGGCTTGTGCCATGTGACGCGACGTGAGAAGCGCGATAATCTGGCGCCGCCAAATGTGCAACAGCATCGCAAATCGCGCAGTCTCGATCACATTCTGTCCAAGCAGACGCTCGCCGAGCTGTTGGCACCGAGCGAACCCAACGAGGAGACACAGAGCATGCAGAATCTGGCATTGCCGATGACACCGTGTCCGCAGCGGCGAGACGCCAGCTCATCCTCGAAATCACCGACGCCGGAGCGAACCGTTCAGCCGCCGCAACGTGGCGTCTTCAAGCGGCACAGTCCCGACGGTGTCAGCTCCACGGAGAGTGAGCGCGAGGATGGGCAGGAGCCGGTGAAGGCACCGATTCATGGCAATCAGCAGCGGGCGGCGGCGCATGTGCATCGTGGTGGCAGCATCAACAGCAATAAGACGTCCAACTCGTCGCTGGGATCGAACAATAGCGCCAACAATAAGACGATCTTTAATCGAACGATGAAAAAAGTGCGCTCGCTGATCAAAAAGTAAGCACAACAAAAATCAAACCAAACCAAAACCAAATCAACCAACAACAACATGCAAACTGCAAGAAAATGCGAATAATGTCGATCGTCTAATTCAGATACTCGCTACTTCAACTAGTTACTCGCTACTTTCATTCGTTACTGTCTAATACTACTTTGCACATTACTTTCAAAACTGACTCATCTTCTGGTCAATAACGTGTCTTTTTCATTCACTCATTATGCCTTATGCTTACTCGCTGCTCGTTACACAACTTAAACGAATCTCATGCATCAATCAATCAGTCAATACATCATTACATTATTAACTCACACCAAGTCATTCCCTGGGCCACGCTCTCGATCTCTCTCTCTCTCTCTCTCTGTCTCTCTCTATATATATTTTTTTTTGTCTCTCTGTGGTTATGGTATTCGCTCGCTATCTCAATTTATCTCTCTCGTAGCTCGTTGTTTCAACTCGTTAAGCTTAGCATCCACTAAAACTTGCCTGCGTTGCCCAAGAACCTTTTGAACGCCTCCCTCTTACAGTCAACACAAAACAAAACAAAAAAATAGAAGAAAAATGAAAATATCTATTTGCCTTGTGATTAGTTGTTTTTTGTATAAATGCAAAAAAACGAATTTAAATTGCAAACTAATTTATAAACTACTATTAACGACTGCATATAAACAATACATAATTTATATTACTAATTTAAAAGAAAAGAAACAAAAAATACATGGGAACTCTATTAATTTTAACTACGATTAATATTTATTGTCAAAAGTTGTAAATTTATTTTCAAAATGCAATTTTTTTCTTATAACCGTCCGCAACAAAAGAAAGAAGAAGAAAATATGAACTTCACAGCAACACGAGTGTCTTGAAACGAAAATAATTAAGTGATATTTAAATTATACATGAATTACCTACAAATATTTAAAGTAACAACAAAAAAAAAGAAGAAAAACAAAACAAAAGAAAAGAAAAACTTAAAGGAAAGGAATAAATCCACCCAGAAACAATGCTGTAAAATATTTTAATTTTAACAAAAGAGACTTAAGGCATTATTTTAATTGATTTTTGCAATATATACATATAATTAATGATAAAATAGTGCCTAAAATTCGACTAGATTAAAATAAAATGTGAACTTATTAAAAGCAATTGTGTATTATTGACCAAAATGATTATTTCCCCTGCTTTATCAGTCACACTTATGTTTCATTCGCATGTTCATTTTACGTTTTACGTGTATGTTTTAATGTTTTGTTCATGTCTAATATTCGTTTGTTTAATCGTTGGTCTGTTGATTGTTGTCAAATCCAACTAATTAAATTATACACTTTCTTTGTGGGAAACACTTTCTTTTCCATATTTTCTTTCTCTTTTTCTCTCTCTTTCTCTCTCTTTTCAATTATTTATTTGTAGACCATAAAAGCGCATTTGTTGTACTTGTTGTTGTCGTTATTGTTGTGCCTCTGCCCTCTGCGCATATGTATCCGACCTGAATCGAACTCAACAAGCTAATTCTCATCACTCCACATCCCGATCCTGTCGACAAGCATGAAACACACACGCACACACATCAAGTGGGAAATCGTCGTCGTCCGGCTGTTGCAAACAACAACAACAACAACAACAAACATTCATTGTTATTTATTACACAACACAAAACAAAAAGCAAACAAAAAGCGAATATAAAAATAAAAAATGTATATCTGTGCATACTGTATACAAGACAGACTAATTAACTGTTTTTAAATGTGCCACCCACAAAACACTACACCCTCCCCCCCTCTCCCTTCAACAACCATGCACACAAAATATATACCAACAGCAACGAACTGGAGGACGATGAGCTCGCGGATATTATCCTGTCCAAGGCAACGTCTCCAAATGCAGGACGCATGATATTTTGGTAGAGACACAAACTCAAACGAATTTTCACAAAAAAAACAACACTTTGTAAATATGAAAGCAAAACGAATTAAATGCTTCACAGGTGACTTGATTTGAACTAACTGGCAGTTCAACTTGATGGAAACCGATAGCTGGTTTTTAAATTCATTATACTCTAAGTAGGCGTTGCAATTTTGGCAATATAAAAGACGGAGTTTTTTTTTTAAGAATCATTTAAAACTCGTTTTTCGTTTCGTTTCCATCGATATTCGAACGAAAAAGGAAATTATTTTTTTTTTTTGCTATTTCGAAAAGTTTTGGTTTATTCAGTAGACAAAAAAAAATGGCTAATCCCATTTTGATCCTAGACCCCGCCGACGAAATAGTCATCGAAGGACCATTTGGTCGTGTCGCTTCCAAAATAATCAATATGCATAATCCAAATAGTGAGGAGCGCGTTGCATTCAAATGGAAGACAACCACGCCAAGTATTTTCTTTGTTCGCCCCAGTGTTGGTGTGATTAAGCCGCTCGAGTACATTAAGGTTGACATCCTTGTGCATCCACTCTATCGGAGTGGCCCTATCAACTTGGAGGTCCACAAGTTTATGGTGCAGGCAGCTGTGGCAGATGATAATTTCCTTAAGCTGAAGGATTTCTGGAGGAATGAAAATAAACTTAAAATCTGGAATGCCAAAATAAAGGTCAAATTATTAAACCCTGATCCAGATTTTGATAAAATACACGATGTTGCCTCGACTGACACCAAAGCTATTGACAAGAGTCAGGATAATGATTTCTTTGATCAAAATGTACGTGATACTACCTTAGAAACTAACGAGGATGCTGATGATACCGTCGACAAGCTTATGCAGCAAGTGACGGAGCTGCAACAGGAACGTGAACAGATGTTGCAGCAAATCGAAATAAACAAGAAACAACGTAGCAGCGTTGAGGCTTTAAAGGTAAAGCAGCAGCAACGTGGTGGCTGCTACTATTTTTTTATGGAAAGTTTTATTGTATTGTTGGCTGCTATTCTAGGCGGGTATGTTGCCAAAACTTACTTGTAAACTTGCCTCACCAATGTATTACGAATGCAAATAAACATTTATACACCTAAATCCAAAATCATTTTTAAATGAAGCGCTAATTTTGTGTAGTTGTGCAACACTAAGGTCGCAGCGTTGCCACTCCGTTCAATTGAGATGCGCTGTGGTGGCAGCTTTATTTACGTGGATCAGCAGCAACTATAGCAACGAGTGCCTATTTCGTTGCGCGTCTCCCATTTAAATGTTTCGTTTTGTAAAATAAACAAATTGATTTTGTTTTGAGAATGGCAATTTTTGTGTAATGAGTGATACGGATACGGACGATACGGATCTATTGTTGCTGATACCGCCCAATTACTACACGAATACCGCCCAGCGCCTGATGCTCGAGGCCAAAATGAGTGCAGCTGCTGAGGCAGCAGATGCACTTGCCATGCCACCGCCGCCGCTGCCAGTGGCAACAACAGCTGCCTATCAGTTTCTGTTGCCTAGCAAAAAGTCGGAGCTGAATAAAATAAATGCGCGACTGCAGAATTTTGAGCTGGAGCGCGAAGATGATCGACGCTTTGAGGCACCATCGGACATTTCAACGATCTCATCGAGCACAGTGCGCACTGCGCTGGGCGGCAGCCAAGCGCAACGCGAGCTGCACGGCATGGTGCACTCAACGCCCAAGTGTGGCTCGGTGGAGCCGACACGTCATCGTCGCTTGGAGGATAATATATTGCACGAAATCGACAACTATCTGGACGATCAAAATGCTTGGCAGCAGCAGCTGCCACAACATCATCAACACCACAGCGATGATTATTTGCGCTTGCGTGCGTATGCGGGGCATGCGCAGGATTCGCAGACGACGACGGCGGCGACTTCGTTGCCCAGCATTCGACTGGGTGCATCGGCATCGGTGAATAATGAGCAGAAGCTAATCAGTCTCAGCGAGCTGTGGGGCAAGAGTAATCTGGCAGGCACTGTTATAGCGAACAATGTGTCCGCGCTTCACGGAAGTCCATCGCTGAAGGAGGAGCAGCTGCGCCGTCAGCATCTGGAGAAAATGGTACAAACGTTGCAGTCTCAGTTGCTGGAGTATCAACAGCGCATTTCGGTGGCCATCGAAGTGGACCGGTCCAAGGATGACGCGCTGCAGCAGGCCGAGCAGCAATTGAAGACGTTAAACTTTGAGGTGCAGCATCTGCGAGACACGCTGCACCGGCTGGAAACGGAGCGTGCCGACAATCATAGTAAATGCGATGCACTGCAGCACGAACTGGCCCAGGCAGTGGGCTTGGCCACCAAGTTTCAGGAGAAGACGGAGATATTGGAGGCAGATCTGGAGCGTCAGAAGCGCCAGGCAGGCGATACAAAGCAGCAACAGGAGCAGCTGGAACTGCAGCTGCAGAGCAGCAAACGAGCCGAAGAACTATCCCACGCCGAGATGAACAAGCTGCGCGATAAGTTCGCCAAGGCGGACTATCAACAGGAGAAGGTTTAACCCGAATCTGATAACAATATTTGCCTCTCTTACAATCCCTTTTATTTACACAGCTGAAATCGCGCATCGAGGAGCTGGAGAAGGATAATGGGACGCTGCAACAACAGAAGGAAATGCTGCAAGAATATCACCAAAAGCAAAAAACACGCGCCAACAGCCTCGAATCGCAGCGCAAATCTCTGCAGGAGGCGTTGGCCAATCTGACAGACACCGAGGTGAGTACTTTGATAACTCCTTAATTGTAGCCAGCTCATTGATTAAATTGCCCAACTTTGTAGACCCAACTTAAGAAAAAACTGGAAGTCCAACAGAAATCGTTGAAGCAACACTACCAACAACAAATGGAGAATGTGGTGGCCAAAAAGCTGCAAGAGTTCCAGTGTCAGCTGGACAAATCGGAGGAGCAACTAAAGGCAGAAGCACGCGAACGGGAACGCCTGATTGCCGATCGTGCCGTCAAGCAGCTGGAGATGATCAACGAGAAGAACAACCAGGAACTGAATCTCATACAGGAAAAGCACAACGAGGAGGTGGAGCTGTATCGACTGCAGCTGGCGAATGCATCCAAGAAGATAGACGAACTGGAGCTCAAGCTCAGCTGCTATAAAACTAAGCGGTAACAAATCTATCACTAAACTAAAGAAAATAATGTATAAAATGTGTGTGCCATTTGTGGCTTTCAGTGCGGACATTGCGGAGAAGCTGCACGGTGTGATGGAGGCGCAGTGGCAACAGGCGCTGGCCATATTAACCTCACCCAATCAGACACTTCAGCTGACTAGCGGCGAGACGGACAGCGAGTCGCCGGATCTGAACAATGCGCGTCACTATCCGGACACGCCCAAGTCAAGTAAAACGACGCAACGCAGCGGCAACACAGAGAAGAACAACTTGGATGTGGTGGGCAAGAAGGATCCAGCATCGCCGATGGACAAACTGCAGGCATACATTGAGCTGCTGCTAAGCAAATCACCAGGTGATTTCGATAAGCTCGACGAGATTCTCGCCATGAACGCCAGGCAGGGCGGTAAGCCACAGAAGCGTAATGCGAGCAACGGATCCAAACCACCGCCTTGGAAGTCCTGATAGTTGCAGTTTGGAGGCACTGATTGAATTGTGTATTTAATAGTTTGATAGTCTGAATTTCTATATAGCCACATGTGGTGGCTTCTATTTTTGTACACATTTTTACTTAGATATTATAAAAGTAAATTGTTTAATTTAATTGTTTTGCAAAAATGCATTGTTTATTGATAATATCAACATTTCGAAGGCAGCGCAGCACAAGTAATATCGAAGCAAGAGCAAACTATGTGGCATAGATTGTTCTCTCCACTGATATAAATTTACACATATGTATATAGTTACTATATAGTATCAGAGATGCCATCGTCACATAATTATATTAATATTTTTCTTATAAGCCATAAAGAACAAAACGAAATGTGGTAAACTATAAAAGTTGTTTGTAGAAAAATGTATTTGTAGAGCTTTATGAACCTATGGCTACAAAACTAATGTGAGTTGATATATTTTAAAGATCGATTTAATTTTGATTCTTCAGCTATTCAGTTTTATGTGTCTGTCATTGATATGCTTTGAGTTTAGTTATTCCTGTTATTGAGAATGTCGTTTAGTTCATTTATAGACGATTTGCGGAAATTTTGGAGCATTGCCGTAGAGACCCTCCGATTCCCAGACCTGGATATTGGAATCCCGCGTTAGCACCACCAAATGCTGATGCGTGGAGTAACATATGCTGCAAAATATACGATTTAAATGTGGATTTCCGCCAACTTATTCGCAAAAGATTGAACTCACCTGCGTATAGGCGATATGCCTGTGGCCAGTTGGCTGACAAAACTCAAGTTCCAGCTGGACCAGAAACGCACAATGCCACCCTCAACAGCGGTGGCAATAACATTGACGCCGACGCCCTCCTTGATGTAAGAATAGCACACGGCTTCAATGCGATCTTCGTGCACCAAATGCTGCACATAGCGTGCATTCACCGAATGCAGACGCAGTATGGATTTGCCATTGGGATTGATGTTGACATTCACGAAGTCATCGATACTCTCCTCGGTCACCTCGATGCACTCGTCCTCTGTGCTTAGCTTGGATGGAGTCGGCTTTGGCTGCACTGCATTTGCATCTGTTGCGGTATTTGTGAGCTGCTGGGGCAGCGTGTGCACGGTAACAATGTCCCCAAGCGTGGGACTGATGGCCACGTGCGTGATGGGCGACTGATGTATCTCTGCGGGGCGTGCAATGGTGCGCACATAGCTCCAGCTAAAGATGTATCGTTTTAGTTAAAAACTTTTAGTTTAACTAATGTGAACAACTTACTCGTTGAGATCCCAAATGACGGCAATGCCATCACGTCCAGCGGTCACTGCAATTTTAAACTCCACGGACAGGGCAATGCATGTGATCTCATCCGTGTGCCGCACCAGCAACGTTGGACCCAACCAGCTCAGATCAGCACCATCGCGCTGCATCGCATCGCTGTTGGAGGAGCCACCGGATGAGGCCATCGATGCCGACGAGTTTGCGTTGTGCAAATTGCCAGAGTCGTCGGACGCTCCAGCACCCATGCCGGATCCAGTGCTCTTGGTGGTCAGCTTACGGAAGGCTGAATTGTAGGAGAGCTGCAAACCGATCACATAACTTTGACGGGTCTTGGTGCTTGCGCGCTGTTGTGCCTCGACGCCGCTGGTGCACTTGTAGACGCTGATGCGTCCCGACTTGTGGCCAAACCAGAGCTGGTTGCAGTTGACATCACAGCCGCAGGCGCTGATGTCATCAAAGCTGCCATTGTGCAGCAGATTCTTGGGCTTCGCTTGTGGTTTGTTCAGCGGCTGAATGCGCACAATGCGATCATCGTAGCCCCACGAAATCACTTTATATGTATCCGGTTCGGCGCCCTGCATTACGCCAGCACGTGCGGCCAACGCATATACCACATTTGTATTACTGAGGCTAACTAGACGCTCCGTGCCGGGTATTTTGTGAATATTGGCCCAAGTGGGTGGCTTCAACTGCGGCGAGCCCACATAGACACCCCAGCGCAGTCCCTTCACACTGGACACAATGGATTTGTCGACTAAAGCATACTCCAATGTCTTTGTAGATGGATGTGGCGACTTGAAGAGCTGGCGCGGCATTTGTCCGTACGTCTTGACCATAGTTTTGACTGCCTCGCGTTCAATCGGATCGCTCGTCTCCGAGTCAAGAAAAACAGCATAGGTCTGCAAGCAAACCAAAAGAATATATTCGTATCTTAAAGATAGATAAGATTATTCGATTGTTTACACTTACCGCTGGATGGAAGACATTAATGGCTTCAACGGCACTCTCGCCCGTCTGCTTGAAGCCAAATATCAGATCGATCCAGTGATGCAGTTCGTTGCGCACCAGTTCCGATTCCAGCGCCTGTCGATGTATGAGCACAAAGAGACGAGGATCCCGCTGACACCAGGCTGGCAAGGCGACATCGTCAACGCGTTCGCCATTCTGTCGATGGCCGAAATTGAAACGCTCGAAATTCTCGAACATTTCAGGCAGGCAAAAGAACTCGGGTATGAGTTCCTTGACATCCGTGGGACTATCCCTGCTAGCCAGACAATAGGTGGTATTCAACGCATGAAACGTGCGATCCGGTAAATCAAAGTTGTTGTCTTTTAAAAGAGAATGCAATTGTGAGACCGAGGATACTATTTTCGCATGTGATGAGCATTACCTTGATAGTTCAGAAAATAGCTGGTGAATGGTGGCACACGCACTAAGAAGTGTAGCACTGTGCCAGAGTTGGAGTAGTGGGAGCTGTAGTGATACGGCTTCAAGATTAGAGAGCCCATGTTAGTATTGGTGCTGTTGATGTACTGCAAAACAAGGTAAATACATTTATTAACATATAATAAAGTTAAATGAAATAAGATGTGCTCCACAAACCGCATAATTGCTTATGTAATGCTGCTCATTCTCCTCCAGCTGTACGGCAATTGGTCGCGGGAGACGCCGGTAGTTTTGTGGCAGGCGCAGGTCCAAAGTCTCGGACTTGTAGTTGGCCAGGATCCAGGGAAAGACTGGATACTGCATGAGATCGTTGTAGGTGCGTCCGGCCATCTGATTGAGTGCCATCAAATACTCCCAGTTGGTCAGCAAGCCGTCACGCCATTGCTGCGTCACCTTATCATTGTCGGGCAAGGTTACAATTTTATCACAGAATACCTCGCGCATGATCTTCCAGTCGTCGGCATTTTGCAGCGAAAAGAACAAGGACTTGTTGCTGTCCAATAGTATTTCGAATGCCTTCTCCTGGTGTTGGTAGCGCTTCAGCCAAATTTCAGTTATGTTCGATATATCACAGTTCACATTGAAGTATTTACAACGATATGTGGCCAGAAAATAGAGCTTCAGATCGGTTATAATAATCTCGCCATCGATTTCACCATCGACGGGCAGAAATTTCGCTGCAAAATTATAGAGTATCTGGGAGTTGAGCGATATGTTCAATTGCTGATCGTAGCTGGCTATCAAATACTCCAGCGGACGCATATACTGATCCTGCTCCTCACGCTGCCCCTGCCCCAGGCAGTAGTCGTTCATGAAAAAGCGCCGATCAATGTCCAAGTGGCAGCGACGCAGACGCGTATGAACACGCGATGGACCCTCCGTGTCGTCCAGTTCCCAGGAGCTGCAGTAAGTATGAAGAAGTCATCGTTTGGATGTAGCACATAATACGCGAATAATACTCACCACTCGGCACGCTCGCTGCAGTGCCAGGGTGCGCCCTCGTGCGTCATGCGACGGATGATCTCCAGCCACTTGGTGTAGGTGGAGGTGTCATCGTATTCCTTCATATGACACATGAGCAGCTTGCGCTCGGCATTCTGTAAGGCACATCATTGAAATATACTTAGGGTACTAGTTGAGGCGAGATCTAGTTACCTGCAACTCCGCCACACGCCTCGTGGTCACCATTGAGGTCTCAATGCAGTGCTGCACTAGTGGCTCAAATTTATAGAGCGTCTTCTCCAGCAGCTGCTTCTGCTTAGCTGCCCCACTGCTGCGATTCACCTCCAAACGCTCCAGCTCGTGCTCCAGATTCCAAGTGGAATCATCCTCCTTGATGCCCAGCTCCTTGCACAGGTTCGACAAATTCTCAATGGGTGGCTTCACATCCTCCATTAGGCTGAGCCACAACAGCGCCTTGATCATCTTCACATCGCATATGATGGATGATTGAAACTCAGAATGACAAGTGCGCCAGAGCGCATCCACAATGTAGGCGCGCAAATCACGCGGACACGATGGCTGCAGTCCCCAGGCAATGAAATTATTGCAGCGATGATTGTTGGCAATGCCATAGGAGACGAGCAGCTCAAACAGTGCCAGCTCCTGGCTTTTATCCTCATACGTGCTGCTCTTGCTGCCGGCCGTAAAGAATTGTGTGCAGCGATCAATGAGCAGCTCCATTCGTGTACGACACTCCGTCTGACTGAGCGAACAGTCGGGCAGGCTGCTCCTTAAGCGATAGCCATGATTACAGCTGGCTCCATTGCAGGCCTCGAAGAACACGTTGAGCCACTTCAGCTGCAGCTGAGCTTGCACTCGGCGAAAGCTGCGCACAATGTGCGGTGGCTGTTTGTCCTGGTAAAAGGCCAGCATGTTGAGTATGTCCCAAACCAACTGAAAAAGGGAAAGATATAATTAGATTTAGTGGCAAATGTGTCCAAATGTGTACTCACATTTATTTGTCCGACAGATTTGAGCGCACGCTCGCCAATGCCGCTCAGTAGCTCCACAATGGACTGATCCATGTTTGGCTGTGTGAGACGCAGCGAATACAGCTGATGCAGTGCTTTGACGCTGCACTGCAGCAGACCCGCCTCCACCAGGCACAATTGTTCATTCGGATTCTGCGAAACAGAGCAGATATTAGCAAATAAGCTGGATTAGCTGAAGAATAGCTGACGCACCTGTAGATAGAGACGCAGCAGCGCTTGAAAGACACGTTGCGGCTCTGTGATCCAGCTACTGTGGTCCATGGCCATTGAAATGGCCAACATGGCTTGCAGACCAAAGCGCTGGCGTATGCCAAAGATGATCTCAGAGCTAAGCATATCGGTGAGATTGCCATGAAGATCGCTCACCCAGGAGAAGCACGCCTCAAACATGGCCACATCGCTGCCATGGATGGTCAGCTGATTGGCCAGATGCATTGGATACAGCTGCTTGGAGGCGGCAGCAAGTTCTGCTGCAGCCAAACGCTTGGTCAATACGGCCAGCAGTTGGATGATGGCTGTGCGCACGGCACAGCTGCGATGATTGGCCAGGACGAGCAGAAATTCGAGTTTGACATAATGGCGCAGCACCTCATCCACGGCAGAGTCGGGCAGTAGGCACAGAAAGTCCTTGAGCAGGATGAGCAATCTCTGCTGCAGCATCACAATGCCATGTTGCTCGTAAAAGTCCGTTTTACGACTGGGCAGCGGTGTTGTCTGTGTCGAGCTGGGCGTGCTGTGTATCGAGGGCTGCCAGTACTTAGTGGGATGGGAATGGGCGCGTTTGCGTGCCACCTTGAGCGGACTTCGCTTGGGACTTTGGCTGGAGGCAGTGGGATGCCGTCGCTTGAACTTGAGACGCCAACGTGATGCCTCCACCGGACTGAGTAGATGCAGTGCGGCCTTATTCAGATTGGAGCAGTCGGCCATTTGGTCCAGGTGATCCTCCATGTCGTTAAGAGCACGCCTATAGCTGGAACTAGAGTTGTGCAGGCGTCGCAATCGTTTAATGCGCTCGGCACGCTCTGCATCCAATTCCTGAACGGGCGGTTGGACCTGACGCCGAAACGAGGTGGTCACACGGCTCAAATTCGTTGCTACAATGGAGCGTTCCTTCACCGGCATCTGTGGCGTCAGCAGAAAGTAGAACTTGGAACGATCGTGGGTGACAAAACACTCGCTGGGCTTGTGCAGCAACAGCAGCAGCTTCATCATTTCGTCCAGCAACGAAGGCGCCGGCGGTGAGCCCGCAAATACGGCCAAGATCTGGACAAAGCATTCAGCTGCGTAGGGCGATATGTGTACTGGACTTGGCGACTCAATCACATACACCTTGCACAGATTGAGCAGCGCTCGCAGCAGACCCGATTTCTGCAGCTGCTCCATGTTGAAATCGCGCTGCGGATGCTTGTCCCGGCTGAGCGCCAATATGCAACGGAACAGCATGTCCAGCACATCGGAATGCGTGGCGCCCGAGCGATGCCAATCTGAGTAGCGCAGAAGCACCGCCAGCAGCAGACTGGGATAAATTAAGCTGGCCGTCGTATTGTCATTCACATGGAGCACATCGCCTTTGCGGCTGATCACTGGCTGGGAGCAGGCATTGTTCACAATGCTGCGCAGCAGTTGCACATCCTTGGAGCAGCGCTCCGATTTGATGACATAACCGATGAGCGACAGATAATCCTGACGCAGAAACTCCGTATAAAGCTGGGCATCCGAGTGGCCCACCTGCAACAGCAAATCCAAGGCCAAAGCCTGCGCATTGGCACTGCCCGACAGCTCCACAATCTGTGAAAGAAAGAGTGCGTGTGAATTGGATGCCAGTTGAGATTTACGTTGGCAACTTACCCTAGCGAAAAGATAAAGCATGGTGGATAATCCGCCACTTAGGAGCACCGCCGTTTGCAGCGTTTGTGGCTGATGCTGCAGCAGTTCACCATAGAGCATATGTCCCTGTGGCTGGCCATAGCATGCCATGTCCAGCTCTTGGCTGGCATCGTGACACATGACCAGATCCGGCTGTTGGGCCGTGTAGACTAAGATACGAGCCTCCCGCAACAGTTTCATGCAGTCCGCATGGCTGCCAAAATTGGAAGTGGTCAGTTTACCAAGTTGCACATGACCATAATTGGGTTTCCAGTTGGCCACTTGGCACTGGGTGAACTCGGTAAAGTCCGGTCCCATTGCAGTCAGATTAAGCATAACATTGCGCTCAACGAGGCGACGCTTGAAGAGCACTAGATTAGACAGAGCATAGCGTGGCGCACACCCATCCAGAGTGGAGCGTGAGGAGCTGCTGTTGCTGTTGCCACTCTTGGCCGGAACACCTTCACCCACGGCCAGCATCTGAAAGCTGTGCGTGCGCGAGGCGTGGCGCAGATTATGAAATGGCAAACTGAGCGTGTGCTGGTCGAGGCCATCCACAAAGATGGCGATCTGCAATCCATCCGCCTGCTGTTGCAATGCGAACACCAGATGCGTCCATTTGTTGCGCGGCAAGCGTAGCTGCTGCACCTGCACACTGGCGCCTTCAAAGTAACCACTGCAGCCCTCATTCCCCACCTGTCCATGTCCGTTGAGCAGATGCATTTGACCAAAGCTATTCAGCAGTTTCATTTTCGTTTGCTTCAGAGCATGACGAAAACTGCCGCTGTTCAGCTGTGACGGCAGCTCACTGCTGGCCTCCATGTGCTCCTCGACTCGTGCTGGCAACGGTTCACTGGGCCGCACCAGCTCGAAAATTAATTGCAAATTGTTGCTAATATAAATGCTGAGCATGGCGGCGCTGCTGCCCAACGAGACCAGATGACATTTCTAGAGAAGCACAAATATATAACATATTTGTATTTAAGGATATTCGCTGCACTCACCGTTGAATCCTCGCCGGAGTACCGTGTTTCGTCATCGTTCAATTGTGTAAAGCTGCGATGCATTTGCTGACCCTTCACCTCCAGCCACAGCGAGAGCGTGAGTCCATTTGGCTGCCACAGGCTCGTCTGCGTCACGGGCACAATGCAGGCGGCGCGTGTGAACAAAGTGGTTGCCTGACAACGCTGATGCTGCAATCTGACACGTTCGATCTGTTCACTGATCGATGCATTCGCTGTGATCACAACTTTGCCGTCGATTGTGATAGGAAACTCCAGTTCCATGCAGGGCTGTGCGCGTCGCAGACTCCCAGCGCAAATGTGATGCATGTGACGCATTAGTAGCTCCACTGGCGGCTGTTTGCTGCTCAGGATGCCAAAGAAGCAGTTGAGCACATCGGGTGTGTTCAGATGACTGATGAGCTCCAGTATGGATTGCTGTAGTTCTGCAAGAGAAGAGAAATAACAAGTTCCAGAGAAATAGATCAGAGCTAGTCCAGAGTTACCTTTTCACTTACCTCTCAGTTTGGCATCATTGCTGCCGAGCACTGGAGCAAATCCTTGCAGCAGGCACAATGGTCCACCCAGATAGTCGCGTATGACAAACAAACGATTCGCCAGCTGGGTGAGACTCTCTGTCCAGCCGCTGGGCTGGCGCATGCACAGTAGCGATAGCTCCACCAGCATCTCCACAACCAGTTGGCTCAGTCCCTCGTGCATAATGTGACTGCGATAGCGTGACGATGGCTGGAAAGGTGTCCACGATTCATTGGCGGCCGCAACGCCGCCGTTAAGATCGCATTCGGATTCACTTGGTCCAGCGATTTCGCCATCCGCATCGTAACCCTCGTCGGCGGTTAGATAGCACTCATGCTCGTTCTCGCTCAGCTCCAACTCACTGTCGGCGGCGCAGCTGACTGAGGCACGCGTGGAGAAGTAATCGGCGTCGCCAATGGCGCCATCACTGGAATTGGGCCGTTGTCGAGGCGTGGGTGGCGTGGCCAGCGAGTTCTTGGCCGGCAGCTTGACTGCTGTCTGCTGTCTGGGCAGCTCCACGCTGCCACTGTTGAAGGAGCGAGCACGTGGTCGCGTCCGTGTGGCGGCACCATTTGGACTGCTCACCACGACGCCCGCTGGCTCATTGTGTGTGCTCGAGAGCTCGCCAATCTTGAGCAGCGTCTGCAGTGTTAATATAACCGCATTGTCTCGGGCATGGTGCTCCCCATGTTCTGTCCAGTCGCTGGAGGCTTTGCTCAATATTTCGGCTTTCAGTTTGCGCAAGTGTTTCTGCATTTTCTCGACTGCAACAACGAAATGAAAGAGAACAGAGAGTAGTCTCCTCGTTGATCAAGAGATCGAGATAGTGGGAGCCAGCGTTAGATAAGAAACAGCTCGCTTATCTTGTGAAAACATCGACAATGCTGATGAGAGATGATGATGATGACTATCGTCAGCGTTGGCCGAGCGCTAAAGCAAAAGTGCCGTCTGGCGGAGCGTGTGGAATGCTTACAGTATCCATGAAAATACTGCTGTAACGTGTGCAACTACACACAAACAAACACACATATACAAACACAGACCACACGAACACACATAACACACACAACACACACAACGTAAGAGAGAAATTCAATCTCATCCGAGGCCAGATGCGAGCGTGGTAAGCGCTGGTATTATAGCAAAGTATCTCAGCGTCTGCCTGCCACTTCGACTGACTGACTGACTTAGTAACTAACTAACTGACTGAGTGGCTGGCTGGCTGGTTGGCTTATAATTAACTCTCTTTGGCAAACCACAACGCACCGTTATTAGTCGCACCGCTCCTCCTCCTCCACCTCCGCCACCTCTTAAGCTTGTGTGTGAATGTGTGCGCTTTGTTCTCGCCTCGCGGGCATTAATAAGGCTTCACATCCCAGCCTTAGCCAACAATGCCGATTGTTGCATTGGAAACGCATTAGCCGCGGAATGTGCAAAATGAAAAACAAGCAGAACGACGAGCTGTGCTGACCTGCAGTGCCTGATGAATCTCTAGCCATATGCATTTTAAACTAAACTATACAACAACAAATGTTGTCACAAGTACTCAGTCACATATAAATGTTTCAGTTGATAAGCCATCAATCGTTTCTAGGAACTGAATACCTGCATTTTTTACAGTTGATTTGCCATAACTCGAAGGTTCTAAAATGTATGCGTCAGTAAAAAATATCTGTATTTATAGTCTGCCATACCGAATCTATTTATTGTCAATGTTTAGTTTGGAAGCCGTAAAGCATGGAACGCCCACTTAATAGTTGATGCATAGCTAACCGAAACGCCGTGCTTTGTAGCGCAGAGTGCGATAACCAGTTAAGTGCACAATCGCTGCTAGCCCCATTCTGCAGAACAAAGAGACTTGCAACTCACCATCTTCGTTTTGAAAGCCCTTGATGCATATGGCCATGGTCGCCTCGAAGAGTTTTAGAAGCAGTTTCTTGCACTCGCCATTCGCCACGAACAGCGTAAACAAATCGGCATCAATATCCAGAGCTGGTTCAGGGCTCGGCGAGCGTCGCTCAGTGCTGCCTCCAAATAGTGAGCCCACAATATTAAACAGCTTAAAAAACAGTCCGTTTGCGACGACCTCATCCCCCAAGTGGCTGGGCTGCATTGCTTCGATGTTGATGTGGTTTTTGTTGCTGTTGCTGGCGGTGGTGTTGGTGGCGGCGTTGTGATTGCTTCCGCGTATGTCAAAGAGCACAATACTCTCGTCTGGTTGGCTTGACTGCAGGTGTTGCAGGAAGGAAGGCAATGCCGGTTGCGATGCGTAGTTATTGATAATTGAGGCGTAGTCCAAGGAGGAATCCGCATAGTCCGAACTGGCAACGGTCGTTGTGGAGACTGACAGCGCACTGGGCAGCAGCTGTAAATGCGGCACGAGAGTCTCCAATGAACTTGAGCCAGAAATAGGTGACTTCATCGCTGTGGTTGTCGTTGCGGTTGAGTTTGCTTCAATGACCGCTTTGGGTAGCATAAGGAAACAGCTAAGCGCATTGTAATTCAGCTTGAGTATGTCAATGATGGTCTTATCACCATGTCGCAGCTTCTCCTCGTGCTCCGGCTGCTGCTGTTGTTGTTGCTCCTCATCATCATTATCAACTATCATTTCCACGGGTATCGAGTAGATTTTCGCAAACTCATTGTAGAACAATTGACTGGTCTTGAGCAGCTCATAGTTGAGTGTCCACTGCAGCGCTGTTATATATAATATATCGACTGGCTTATGGCCCTGCAGCAGTGCCGTATCGGCCGTCTCCTCCAGCCAAAATTTGGCATGCAATCGCTGAGCGCATCTGTGGAGCAGTGCTTGGAAGAGTCGCGAAGCGCGATCACTGCTATTTAACTGGAGTTGTATGAGACGCCGGCTGAGGGCGATCTGTTCGTGGCTATTGTCGCCCAGGAAGGCAATGTTATCGATGCCCACCTTGATGAGATCACAGACGCCACGCTGCAGTTCGGGCACATCCAACAAATCCTGCATATACCCAATGTTCTCCTCGTTGTAGAAGGCCTTAACGAGGCGTATGTCGCTCAGGTACATCACGAAGATACTCAGGCATTCGTGTAGGATGCGATAGTTGTCCAGTTGGCCGGGCATTTGCAAGCGGGGTAACTTGATTGCTGGATTCGGTTTTGGGTTGCACTCACTGAACTGTTTGTATTGCCGGAAAACGGGTAGGACCACTTCGGCCAGGATGCCAGCAGCCAGATCATAGGACAACAGATAAGCAATATGCTTTAGATGCTTCAGAAACAGCAGCATTGAGACGCTGTTGAGCAGTGCCCGATAGTTGTCCTTATAGATGCCCAGTAGCTGTGTGTGAAATACGGGCGACTTGAGCTTCTCCTCGCACACGCCACATTGCTGTGGCGAACGCTTCACAAAGATTGTGTGCAGCACATTGTAGTGGAGAAATTTGTAGGCGCACTTCTGATAGCTGCTTGATAGTTGGGTGGCCAGGCGCAGCCAGGTGGCATAGTTGGCGGCATTGTAGTGGCAGCAACAGCTGCCGGTCCGCAACAGCGAGCGTACGCTATGCTCCTGCAGCTCCGGCACCAGACTGGGTAGCAGCTGATACAGTTTGCCCTGGAAATAGCAGCTGAGCGAGCGCTGCGTGCAATGCAATTGACTGTGGCGCTGTCGCTTGTGGCGTGGCGGCTGCTGTTGTTGTTGTTGCTGTTTAACCAAGGCACTCGAGGTGCTGCTCTCCATGAGACACTGTTGTTGCTGTTCTTGCCGCGATAAGTGATCCGTGAGACGCAGCAGCAGCTTGTAGATATGCAGAAAGAGCAGCGATGTTGAGGTGGGGCATGTGGCTGCCTCCTGCAGCACATCAAAGCAGCTGTCAAAGTGTTTCACATCGATTTCGCTCAACTGCTGCGCCGCATTCTCCACCAGATTGTGCAGCGTGCCAAACATGATGTAGAGTATGCCATGGGAGAGCACGGTGCTGCCACGATTGGCGGCCAGCGCATAGAGCAGCTGACTGAAGTTGCCATTGAAATCCAAGGAGCTGGGCTGCTGTTCGTACATGTAAAAATTGTTGACACAATGAGCAATTAGCTGCAGCAGCTCGAATTTGATAATCTCATCGTTGTCGCCGGGCTGCTCATCATCTGGTTCATCCACGCAGCTGCTGCACAAATGACCGAGCGCAAAGTTGTGCACGGTTACACTTAGCTGCGGCTCCTGTTCCGCGTCTATGCAACGTGTGAGTAATTGGATGAGTATCAGCGCCAGCTCGTCACTTGTCTTGCAAGCATTTCGAAATTGATCAAAGCTGTCGAGAATCTCAATAGGTAGTCGTACTTGTTGCTGTTGTTGTTGCTGGCGTCGCGTTTTGCTGCGCTGTGAGTTGAGGTGAAAGCTGCCAATAAACTGAGCGATACTGGTTAGCGGCTTCAGCGGAGCATTTGTTGCGCTCCACTTGCAATTGGGGAACAGATTTATACACAACTGGCAGAGACTCTTCAGCGAGGCGATGTGCTGCAATGTGATGGCAATAACTGATAACAATAACAATGCAACTAATAGCAAACTGCATGCAAAAAGCACTTGCCTTCATTTGTACGCGCAGCAGAACGGCCAGCAAGTGTTGACCCAAGCCATTAGTGAGAAATGTCCGCAACGCAAGAATCTTGTTGCAATCACTGGTTGTGCTAAGTATAAGCTGCAATTTATATATATCATCATAAGTATGAATAAGGAACAATCTCTGTTGAGCATTATATATTTAATCCGAAGCAATACAAAGATAGCATTATTCTCTTCTTTACCTGTGCCAGATTATGCTGCTTGCATAGTTGTTTGATGCATTTATCTTGCTGTTCCGATTCCTGTGATCGCTTGGCGGCGCTGATAATCTGATACACCTGCTCCAGTAAATAGGAGCAGAGCTCCTCGGGCAGCTGATTAAAGTTGCTGAAAGAAAATACCCAGTTAAGTTACAGTTACAGTTATTGAAGAGTATTCAGTGTTCCACTGGTGGTTGACTCACCTGTTGAACTGTGCATTCTGCAGTGTTTGCTCATCCAAGTACTGAAAGTTGTAGAGCAATTGCCAGAGCCAGTGTTCCTGCAAGCGAACACAGCTGATAAGTTGAATGGACACACTTTGGGTGGTATCCGAGTCGCATACAAACCTTGACACTCGCTGTCTGGTTATCATCGACGGCCTCAGAGTCGAAGGCTTTCAGATAATGGCTCCAAAGTCTGTTCAATGTATGCAGCAGCAGTTGACGTTGCTCCTCCTCCAGCGCCATGGCCATATAAACGCTCCCTGCTAACTGCTACTGCTGCTGCTGCTTCGGCTACTGTTGCAGTTGTCTTCTCGGGCATTGGGCAACGTTGTGGCCGCAATAAGCGTTGGAACAAAACTGAGCGAAAGAACTGCAATATTAAAGAAGATTGGCAGCCAGCTGTAATTACACAAGTATATTAATGAGTATAAGTATTTCATTTCGTCTCTATGTAAATATGCCTGCTGCTGTATGTGGGAGATAGGGAAGGGGTTGGGAGCATGCTGTGATTATTTGCAGCATCAGCAGCAGCGAGCGCTGCTGCGCAGCAGAAGCAGCAGCAGAAAGACAGAGGCCGGTGAAGCTGATTATTTGGACGAGCGACAATGGAAACTTTTGTAGTTGCTGATGTTGTTGTTGTTGGAGAAGGAAAAACTATTCGATTACTATTTATAGCAATCCAATGGCACACTGCACACAGTGCACATATTCTGTTGTCAAGCGAATCCGATGCCGGCGAGGAGTGGGTACTAGATGTAGTGGGGGGTTGAGGTGTGTGGGTGGCGAATAGCACTCAGCAGCATCCCATCCCATCGGGTAAACAGCTGGCAATGATGCGTGTCGGTGTAACGGTTAATGCACACAGAGCAAAGCAGCGCAGCGCAGCCGATAAGCTCAGCTCCAACTACAAAAACAACTTTTCAACTTCAACACTTCATATTCAATAGAAATAATAATTATTGAATTGGTCGTAAACCAATTATAAAGTTGGCTTATCGGACAATGACAGCAGCACTAAACAACAACAATGCTTATTGGAATTGCGATGGGGACAGACAAATTGAACACCGAAAATGATCAAATTCTAAACTGCGTAAATTCGTTGGTGACGCTATTTATTATATATATGCACTTGTATTATTGTATATGTATCATATATATATATATATATATATATATATATATGAAAGCTGAAAATCAACAGACCTTACACACAACAAAAATAATGAGAACCAAAATATTAAAAAAAAACACCGAAACGGCAGGCAACAAAAACGAATTAGTACGCCATTTTGTTTTGAAGTGTATGCCGCGTACACTCTTGTTTATTTAATGGTATTAACGTTTTTGTGATTCACACAGTTTTTGCCTTTGGTACGCGTATTTGTTTGCTTGCGTTCTATCGTTATAAACAATAAGCGTTTTGAAACTGCTTTGTTATTGCAGAAATCAGCTGCAACGCCAACAACATATCGGTAGTTTATATATATCGATAAGATGTAAAACATAACAGCTGTTAAGTTTGTTCCTTACAGGTTGTCTCTACAAGCTATTGCTCTGTTAGTTATGGCTCGTTATTACAGTCACTTGGCGCCAATTGGCAGCTTTTAAATTAAAGGTTATTTTTTATTTTCTTTGAAGAAAATTTAAAATATAAAACAAATTCTTTTCCATGAACCCATACTGAAGTCACAATTGCACATTGCACTTACTAATTCTGTTCTGTGATGCTTGTTATAAATGTGAAATTCAAATAACAGCAGTTTTGCCAAACTAGTGCGCGCTGTTAACAACATTCGCGATAATGTTAATATTTTAGAGAGGCCAAGGTAGTGAATGGCAGCTGTTAGTTTTGGATTTTAGTTGATCGCGTTTGCCTCCTGGACGAAACTCGCAGCTAAAAGCGGTGGATTAATTGTTATTAAGTGAAATAGTTATTAATTGTTATTGTTGTAAGTGTAACTAAGCATAATCTAACAAAATGCTGCGCCGATTAACTGCGTGCAACTCCATTGGCAGCCAGAGGGAAACATTCAAGGTAGGAGCAACATATTCATAAAAATACATAATTCCCAAAATGTGCAAAATAATAGCAACAACAAAGATACTATTCTTAGAATATCAGAAGCACACTAAAAGTTGTGCTGTGTTAGACGACGCAGGTTATTCTCTGACAATAACAACAACAGAACTAGTTTTCAAACAGGTGCTTTCCAGGCATATGTTGATATTCTTGCTAAAAATAGAATAGTTATAAGTAAAAATATTCATTGGAGCAGCCTAGGTTGGCTTTGATAAGCGAGCGTGTTGTAGGGTCGCTGTCTGTGTGTCTGAGTCTATGTTTTGATAAGCGTTGCTTTGATAGAAATCACCCCACATGAATTAAATAGGTTCGTATGATGACCCATTGTCCCACCTACCGCGCGATCGTCGCAATAAATAAAGAGACAGCGGTTACGCAATTTTAGAACACGCACACAATCTCTACTGTATATATAAACTACGCACACAAGCTAATCATGACAAACAGGTATGCAAATAATGGGCGGCCATTAAATTGTAAACTAAAATACCTGATTACCCCCCACTTTCTCTGATTTGTTTTTTAGCTCATCGCATGCTGCTATTCGACAAGTGGCAAGCACAGGCGCCAGGGGAAGATCTATGAGTCTGCCACCGATGCAGTTGCCGATGTTAAGGATGGCTCCAAAATACTCTTTGGCGGATTTGGCATTTGTGGTATACCCGAAAAGATGATCGATGCGTTGAAGCAGAAGGGCGTTAAAGATATAACTGCGGTGTCCAATAATGGCGGTAAGTATAACAGCTCTATCAGTTATACAAATTTACAACAGGTGTCAAACCTGTTGCCAATGAACAAATGCACTCTGTAAGCTTACATTTCACCACGAATGCTGTTCGTAGAGTTGCCAACTTGCTTAAATTACCCACACACACAACTAATCTGCACATTTACAACTTTGTTTTCTTTTTTTTAATTCACGGGCTATCTTTCTTATCGGCAGGCGTTGACGATTGCGGTCTGGGTGTGCTGATTAAGCAGAAGCAATTGTCCAAGGTGATTGGCTCGTATGTGGGCGAGAATACCGAGCTGGTGCGCCAGTATTTACAGGGTGAGCTAGCCGTGGAGTTGACGCCCCAGGGCACCCTGGCGGAGAAGATTCGGGCGGGTGGTGCTGGCATACCCGCCTTCTTCACACCCACCGGCTATGCGACGCTGGTGCAGCAGGGTGGTGCACCCGTGAAGTATGCGAAGGATGGCAAAGTGTTGATTGCCAGTGAGAAGAAACCGGTGCAGTCCTTCAATGGTCGCAACTATGTTATGGAGGAGTCCATCTTTGCCGACTTTGCCTTTGTCAAGGCACAGAAAGCGGATCCCATGGGCAACTTGGTGTTCAACAAATCGGCGCGCAATTTTAATGCGCCCATGTGTCGTGCTGCAAAGATTACCGTTGCTGAGGTGGAAGAGATTGTGCCTGTTGGCGCTCTGTCTCCAGATGAGATTCATGTGCCCGGCATCTATGTGAAGCGCATCTTCAAGGGCAGCAACTACAATAAGCGCGTGGAGCGTCTACGCATCACAGAGCCCAAGCAGGAGGGCAAAGCCGCTGCTGAATCAAGTCCCGGTCAGGCTTTGAGGGAACGCATCGCTCGAAGAGTGGCGTTGGAGTTCGAGGATGGTATGTACGCCAATCTGGGCATTGGCATCCCAGTGCTCTCGTCCAACTATATACCAAAGGGCATGAGTGTTATGCTGCAGTCGGAGAATGGCATCTTGGGCCTTGGCCCGTTTCCCACAAAGGAAAATGTGGATCCAGATCTAATCAATGCCGGCAAGGAGAGCGTTACTGTTATGCCAGGTGCTGCCTACTTTGGCTCCGATGACAGCTTTGCCATGATTCGTGGCGGTCACGTTGACCTGACCATTTTGGGCGCCATGGAAGTGTCGGCCACTGGTGACTTGGCCAACTGGATGATACCCGTAAGTGAAGATTAGCAGCCAACCAATTTCAATAGCTAACTTTATCTCATTTCCAAATGCAGGGCAAACTTGTGAAGGGCATGGGTGGCGCTATGGATCTGGTGGCTGCGCCCGGCACTAAAGTCATCATTACCATGGAGCATAACGCACGCGATGGTTCACCCAAGATTCTGGAGAACTGCTCGCTGCCACTGACGGGCAAGGAAGTCATCGATCTGATCATCTCCGAGAAGGCAGTGTTTCAGGTGGAAAAGGGCGTTGGCCTCACCCTCCTTGAGGTTGCCGAGGGCTTCACTGTCGACGATATAATTGCATGCACGGGCGCCAAGTTCACCGTCTCGCCGAATGTGAAGCAAATGTCGCAAATACCCATTTGAGTTGTTGAGTTGAGGTTGGCATGTAGAAAGAAAGCTATGTAAAAGTTACTGTTCAGTTACTGAGGTGATATATGTGTGCATTTATTGTTGTTATTAAACGTGAAACAATAATCGATTTTATTACCATTAAAGTCAATTGTTTTACAATTCTGTTAATCGTGCCCCCCTCCCCCCGCACCGTCACTCATCCGATGGCCTTGGCCATGTTCTTCAATGCATCCGATTGGTGTGCAAGGCGCATTTGTTTGTTGAGAATATCAAAGGTGCGATTGTATTTGCTGCCGGTCTCGTTGCGACAGATCGCACAGTACTGCGAGGTGAGGAGGTGGAGTGGACTGCGAAAGTAAATGTTCTTCTGCATGGTCAGAGAGTTCTTGTAATGCGACAACATGTGCAGAAAAATCTCCAAAACGGACAGCAGTGCCCACAAAAAGATGTTCCAGCTGAACAATGTGGGTATCAAGAAGATCAGGAAGGAATTCTGGCGCTCATAGCCCAATATAATGTTCTGCAAAAAGGAGAGGATCATTTGATTTGTGTGTATGATGGATGATCATCCAATTTACGCTGCTAACGCCGTCCATTTTGATGTAATCCTCGCGCTCGTAGCCGGGCGTGATTTTCTTCAATTCAGACACCTGACTTATGGTTTCCTGGCCAACCAAATGCTTGGCCGAGATGTCCTCGTGGACATGGTGTTTGTTGGCCAGCACATGATCCACCTCATCGCAGATGGTGCCACGCAAATAGTGCTTGGGCACATGGAAGTTTCCATGCTTTCGATATCGCACTTTCATTTGATCGTTGACTGGTTCGCCGGTCTCCTCATCGTACTTGGGCTGTTTGACGCGTGCTGAATCGGTGTAGAAGTACTCAAACTCACCAGTTTCGCTGTTCTGCAAATTATATTAAGATTAGCTTCAGATTAAAGATTGAATGTATGAGATAAGCAACACAATTAGTTATCTACTGTGTACTGTCAACGAATGTTAACAAAGGCAAAGCAAATATATTCGTTCATGTTTAATGATGAAATTAACAATTCAAATTGAAATTATTTTCTATTGATCTGAACTTTTTGCACTCGTAGTTTGTCATACGGCACTGAGCAATTCTGATAAGGCAACTAAATTGTTTCTGTTTAATTTTTGTTTGTTATTGTTCGTCGAAAATAACGAGACTGACTATTCTGATAGTGATACCCCCAGTGGTTCGATACCGTCTGCTCGACCGTCAAATGATTCATGATACTCAGCACACGAAATAACTGCCATTGTACACATCTTACCACCATCATGTTTAGCTTGACACTAACCTTAGGTAGAACTCGGATTTTTTATTTTTGGGCTCGGGCATGCCCGACATTAATAATAATAACTTATCGCTATCAGCGGGACTTGAGATACGGCGCCTTCGGGCTTATATTTGCAACGTTTGAGGCTTATCATTCCGTTGGCTTTCATATTATTATTATACATGCTACAGTACTACAGTGCCTGTAGTCTCTCAGGTCTAGTCTACGATCCCATGGATGAGCCACGCCCATCAAATTGAAACTGTTGCATATGATCACGAAATGATTCTAAAACACGTTACAAGTCTAAACTTGCGTGATATTTAAATATATATGTCGTTAATCCTGACTGACAATGAAAATTGGACATTAGAAAACATGTTTGCTTAATAATAGGTACTATTATAATAATTATTTAAGTGTATGTAATTAAAGAGACCTCAACCGGCTCAAATAGTTTTTGAAATCAATAAACATTAGTGATAGGACAACTTTTACAAAAAGCAGATAATTCCTATGCATGATGTTATATATACCCCATTATATTGCCCTATTTCCAGTTTCCACAGTTTGTTCCTCAAATTCGTCTGGCTTACTTAAAGTAGCACTCGAAAACGACTTGATTTTCAACAGGCTATCATGAAAGGGTGCTTAACGGTTTTTACTACCTGTTCACTGATTGTCGCATAATTTGATGACAGCTCAACGATAAAGCTATGTAATTCAAGGCGTCGTCAATGTTCTCCATATACATGATTAATCGATAAACCCTTTCCAGTGATAAGTGCAGCTAGCTGCAATCTTTTAATGGGTCGAGATTATCAGAGTGCCACATGCGTCACACAATATACATATATGCAGCACATAGTATGCTCCGACTAACGATTGATGTTTTCTCTGCTTGTCTAACATTCAGTTGAGCATTCTATAAAATTGCGAAAATTGCCGGCAATGCTTAAAATGTGTGAAAAGAAGACTCTCTAAAACCAGTTTGTTTGGCCAGACATCATTTAAGTATTAAAATCTACGCTAAAATGTAAATTAATGTCTGGCTAATCGGCAAATGTGTTTTTTTGGCTCACCTTTATGGAGTAGACCATGGTTGTTTTGGTTTTTGTTTTATTACGCTCTTTTTTTTATATGTTGTTATTGTATTTGATTGGTTTATGATTGCTGGATAATAGTATTCTTATCGTTTTGTGATGCTTGATTTTCGAACTTAGCTGGGCTTTTATCTATTTATTCATTTTTCTAGCAATGCTGGAAAATAAACACAAATCTGGCTGCTACACATTTTTACATTGTTTATTTTGTATTTTGTTAATATTAATTTGTCGCCACACGTTTCATTCGACGTAAACGCGATGAGAAAATTACATATAATTAAAACCGGTTGAGCGTGTTGTTGGCTCTTTCTATTTAATTGCGTTTGAAATCGCATAAAATGGCCACAATTTCACAATAATTAAAAAACCGTATCGTATATTGTTGATATATATATATTTATATATATATTAATATAAATTAGTTTTATTTTCTCTCCGCCGACTTTTCGCAGCTAATTTCACGCGCACGAGAGTGGAAAGAGAATCCACGTCTGTTATGAACAGCTTTCGAATGAACAATAAGCAAAAAATAATAAATAAAGCTTTGGCAAATAATGAGCAAAAAGTACTCTATGTGGCAGTCTTAAAAATAGAGAGCAATACAATTAGATCGCTCAACAGCAAGTTGGCAGCGCCGTGTGGTGGGTTTCTTAATAAAAAGCTTTGTACTGGTTGCTGTCTTCGCTAAATGTATAACAAAGCTCACGCCTTTTGCCCAAATTGCAGTTATATATATGAATTGTGGTGCGTTAAAAACGATCTCGAAATTATTTTGAGTTTACTTTGCAAACCAGTTTTAAATTTTGGTGCCTCTGTTGATAAAAATATATATATATATTGCTAATTTTTTTTTTTTGACTTTGAATTGTTTATAAATATTTTTTTAACAAATTTATCTTGGTAGATTAAGTTTTATTTTTCTTTTTTCTTTAAGTGAGTTGTTTTGCACTTGTTTTGGGGGGTGTTGAGCTTATTCGAACTGCGTTTTTGATTTAGTAGCTGAGAGTTGGGCGCCTCGTTAGGTTGTGTCGCTCACTGCACCTCCCACAAATACTTTAAACGCTAATCCTAAGTAATAGTATAAATAGTGTATTCCTTTATCTTAATAGCCGCGCGTGTGATATACGATTTATATTAAACAGTAGTCGTTGAGTAGGTTTAACAAAGAATTATTTTTCTCGCTACTTTCGCCTGACAATGAAGTGAGTAACTTAGATTATCTTAACTGGAGAATCTTCAGTCATAAGCACTTTGCTCACTAATGAGCAGCGCAAGCAATAACAAAATGACTGACACACTGTCATTTTCAGTGTAAACAAATGTGTTCTCTATTTGGGTATTTTAGATTTGAATTATTTTATTTTTTATTTTTTTTTTGTTGTTATTTATTTTTCTTTTTTTTGTAGAACAGTTGCCAGCTTGTTAAAAAGTCATTAACCATAGCTCTTAAACTAATCACATTTTCGGTTTAACGAGCGTATGCCTTTTGCTAGGCTAATAAACATTTACAATTGTTTTTCTTCCTTGGGGTATGCTTATCAGTTAATAAAAACGCAAGCCAAAAAAAGTTTTCGGTTAACGACAAGTAAAATAGTCAGTGCTGTAAAAATCACTTAATGATAATTTATTGTTTGCTTATCACATAGGAATCATGTCAAGAATGAATCGATTTCATATCCAGAAACGACGACAACAAAAACAACAATCGCCTCCAATGATGACTATGATCCACACATGCATCGCAATGTGAAGAACCCAACCAAGTGAGTACTGAAATTATAATTCTCGAGTATTTGTTTATGTGACAATTACGATGATCTTCAGCAACTGGCAAACTTTTGCACACTTCCTGAAAGCATCCATTGGCACCGGTGTCCTGGCGATGCCCAGCGCCTTTGCGCATGCGGGCTATATCAATGGATTTATCTTTACTTCAATCATTGGCCTTCTGGCGCTATACTGTCTACATAAACTGGTAAGTTCAAGTTGCGACTTTGCTTTGAACTGTTTAGATTGCGGATTGTTCGATTGTTGCAGATCAGCAGCATGTACATACTATGCAAGCGTAAACGGGTTCCGTACATCACCTTCTCGGAGGCCATGAAAATGGGCCTACAACAAGGACCACCCTGTCTGCGCTGCTTCTCGCACATTGCCGCGTATGTACTCCTATCTTATAGATGCATACTCTCATATTATAGATGCATACCTCTTTAGTCCTTTTGTAGATGGATTTCTGGCCTTCTATCATTTTGGCATCTGTTGCGTCTATGTGGTCTTCATAGCGGAGAGCATCAAACAACTTGTGGATGAGTATTTGGTTGTATGGGATGTCCGCATCCACATGACCATCCTGATAGTTCCACTTCTGCTGATCTACAGCATACGCAACTTGCGGGTTTTGGCGCCATTCTCCAGTGTTGCAAACGTGTTGCTGGTAGTGGGTTAGTCCACAAAGCACTGGCAAGTCCATAAGAATTCTATTTTAAATATCGTTTTTCCTCTTCCTTAGGCTTTGGCATCGTTCTGTATTACATATTCGAGAATTTGCCACCGCTGAGCGTTCGCGAACCAGTCGTGCATTATTCTAAGCTGCCCACTTTCTTTGGCACTGTGCTCTTTGCCATAGAGGCAGTGGGGGTGGTAAGTACTTAAGGATTATTTATGGGAGCGCTGTTGCCACCTCGAACATTCTCCTTACACTCTGATAATAGTGGTAAACATTTGACTAAGTTGTGGCTCAAGCACTCTTTGACGATATAATTTTAGCTTGGTTTTTAAATTAGAATCGCATTTCTATTTTTGAGTGTAGCAGAGGTCAACCAATTACCAAAAAACCTTGAACTCTAGAGGTCAAACTATGATCAAAAAGCCCAGCCTTTTGAAAATCGGGTTACTTTTGACAAAGTTATGACTGTGGAAAGATTTGACTGACCTGAAAAACTTTTTGTGGCTAACACTTAAGCATGAACTTATGGCTATAATCATAACCCGCAAGAAGTTTTTTTTGCCATTTATTATCAGCTAGTTTTTCCCAATTTCCCAATCGATTATAACCGACTACAGCGCTCTCACTTATTTTGGTTAGATTTTGGCTATAGAAGAGAATATGGCCACGCCTCGGGCCTATGTGCAACCTTGTGGCATCATGAACATTGGCATGGGTATTGTGATGAGTCTGTATTTGCTCTTAGGCTTCTTCGGCTACTGGAAGTACGGCGATGAAGCTTTGGGCAGCGTTACTCTGAATATACCACAGGAGAAAGTGTAAGTATTATCCGAATATTAATTGGTTGCCATCGAAACCGAAATATTTTGTTGCTATTTTGCAGAGCCGCCCAGGTGGCGAAAATCTTCTTCGCTATCACCACATACATATCGTATGCGCTGCAGGGATATGTCACAGCGCACATTGTGTGGGGCCAGTATTTGAGTAAGCGTATCGAGAATGTCAAGATGCATACGCTCTACGAGCTAATCTTTCGGGCGCTGATTGTCTTGCTCACCTGTAAGCTGCACATCATTTCTAAATCACAAATTTCGATCAATTTATTTATATACATATATATGTCATATTTGCAGTTGGTTGTGCCATTGCCATTCCGGATCTATCGCTGTTCCTGTCGCTCGTCGGCTCCTTTTGCCTATCGATACTGGGTCTCATCTTTCCGGCCCTGCTCCACATCTGTGTTATCTACGAAGAAGGCTACGGACCATATCGATACCGACTTGTTTTCAATTTGCTGCTGTTGATATTTGGCGTTTTTGGGGGCGCAGTGGGCACTTACGTCAGCATCGTGGACATTGTCAACGCGATGTCGGGGAAAGTGGCCTAATCTGGCCTCATAATGTTCGCCATTAAAAACTAATACCAATACCAATACACATGTTTATTTGGCCTTCATTTAAGACTTGTAGCCCTGGCAGCAATGTTTGTGCAACGCTGCGTATGCGTAATCTAGCGTAGCCTTTGCGTGTAGCATATGCAAACCATGTTACGGGCTGTGTTTGTCATTTGGGTGGCTGCACCCAGCTGTTTGCACTGCTAATTATTACTGTCTGCGCACACACAGCGGGTGCATTATGGAAGAGGGTCATACGTTTTTTAAAAAGTAGTCCTAAGATGGCTGCTCTGAATTGCTGGTCTTTAATATTAAGTAGCTCTTCAGTTGAGGTTAGCAGACACACCAAGAGTAAGTTAACAAGTTAACAAGTCTGTGTCCTCATTTACCAGTTGCCTTGGGTTTGATTGGACCTGAAATGCTTTCTAATCGAAGCCTATTTGGCACTTGTTAGATCTGCTGTTTGTTGCCATTGCAGATTTTTGCTAGTGTTTTGATTATCAGGGCATAGTAATGCATAACAAGCTGTCAGCTTCTAGTATCGACAGCAATTTCAGCACTCCTTGTCAGCTATTGGAATTATTGGATAAAACTGAATGAAGTTGACCCCCCATTTTTGCTTGCGGGCTGTTTGTCAGTCAATCGAGTTACTCAGCATTGTGTTGAAATTTCCTCTCCGAATTGCAGTGTTGTCCATCTGAATTAATATTTGAACAATAAGAATGTTATTGTTGTTTAAAGTCTTACATTTATACAAATGATTAATTATATATTTAATGAATCGGCCTTGAATGAGTCACAAATCGCTGGTTACTTATTGTCACCTAGAACAATGAAATTTCATATTATCGAAAATGTCTGTCAGTTCACAGTCTGAATTTATATACATTTTATGATATTCTTTCTTTTTTTTTGCTCATATATTCACAACGACATTTTAGAGTTGCAGTAAGTAATTGCGTTGCAACATTAATATGATAATATAATTGCTTAAGTTAGAAACCCCAAAAATGATGCTAAAAATGTCCAACAAAGTGAGTAATGATCACAGAGAAATCGGCTCTGCTCCTTTCAATCTTTCATCATAAATCCTATTTAAATGAAATTTTGTGTTTTTGCATAAGTGAATAATAAGTTTTTTATTAAGTAATTTAAACCTGCTGATATTCTTTGAGGGTTTTAGAGGAATTCTTGGCTCAGATACAATTTTGAACATTATCGATTGCAGTGCCGGGGCAAGGACTTAAGTGTGGCCAGAACGTAATGTTTGTCGATAAATACTAATACATGCATAATTGTGTTGGCCTCCTGTTTGTGCAACGCTGCCTATGCGAAATCTAATGTAGAAGCTGCATGTGGTTTATGCAAATCATGTTGCCGCCTGTGGTTGTCATCTAAATGGTTGTATTCTACATGCTGTCGTTTGGTCTGGTAATAATTACTGCCAGCACAGCCACAAGCCAATAGTCGCCTTGACCTAAGTCAAACAGCCGAATTTCTTTTAACTTTAATTAAAAGCTAAGCGGAGCAGGTATGTGGTATAAGTACTTATTGCTGCTGCTACTGTTGCTGTTGTTATCCTGCAGTTCAGACAGTCAGACATGCGGCAAATGCAACGAACTGTAATTAAATGCAACCGCAATTAACAGAAAAGCACCCGCAGGTCAGCACTGTACCCCTTTCCAAAGTCAGCCGACTTAAATTGTTTTTGGCCGCTCCTCTTGCGCTCCGTCGCATTTTATTTACAATGTTTGTAGCTCAGGTTCCTGTCTACATTCTCCACAGTCTCACCTCCTGCGGCCACCCACACACATGCCACATACGTTGTCTTCTGCAGACCACAGTGCAGCACAATGTCCGCCGGCTACAAGAAGCCCGAGCACAAGCCAAGTACACATTGCCAGCGAGGGTTGCGCAACTGCCAAGTGTTGACCAGCAGTACAAAATGTGAGCAGAACTCATCAAGCTACCCTCGGCGTGTATGTGCGACATAGTGTGTTGAATTGCCCGCTGCTTTGTTCGTTTAATTACTCTTTTGACGGAAATAACACACGATTCCTTTTACAAATGGAAACAAAATAGAAATTGCACAATTGCAGCCACTTACTTCGGTTGAATTAACTTTAGTCAGCTCTGCGAAATGCTGCAAAAATATATTTTGTATACTCTTATGGTCAATTGGTCAAAATTTTCCAAAACTGTTGCAATTTTCAAACATCAGAAATTTAAAAAAAGGCTTGGATTGTCTACAAAAATTACGTTGAAATGAGTATTGACATCAATATAAAAACTTCAATAACAAAATTGGTTTGAATTAGGGTGTGCAAGTGCATTCAGTCTGTGGTTCCCTTTACCATTTGTATGTTCTTTTTTTTGTTGCGCTTCATTCTGACAATTTAAATAGCAATGAGAAACAAAAAGTTGACCATAGTTTGATTGGCCGTCCTTTGATTCTGCAGCCAGTTGTTGTCTGCTGCTCTTGTCCTGTCCATCAGTTTCACTTTGAGCGCGAGGCCAGGCAAATGAAATGACAGGTTTATTTGTTGTTTGTCAGTTGAGAGTGTTGTTGGTTTTTTGTTGTTGTTCGTACTGCCAACTTTTCCATTCGAATAATTTGTCGCTTGAGCATTTTAATTATATTTGTGCAGGGAAGCCCTCAACACACAATTTAAGTGATTCCGGCCACTTGACTCCTATGCTCTGTATATTGTAGGGAATAGTGAATTACACAAAATGTTAGGTAAACATATGTTCTCTTTCATTGATCAGAGCAAGATATCCAAGCTTTTCAAATTTATTATTTATTATCTACAGAAACAATTGTGCGCCAAATTGAAGTAGAAAATGGCAGAAGTATACGAACCGTTTTCAAATCCCATTTTGTTTCACTTTAAAGGACTTATTCCTTTTGTTTGCTAGCCAATATGAAAAGTGTGCATTGAATTGAGCTTTCAGCAAAATTATAAAATGATGAGCATAGTGCAACTTTTCATCTATTATCATCATTTGTTTGATCAAGCTGTATTGCACAAAATTAATTTTATAGCCATAAATATATGTATGTGTATATATTACAACTTTTAACCTTCATACTTATAGTTAAATCGGTATCTGGCTAAACAATTTCCAAAATTGTTTGCATATTGTGCAAATTTGTAGACAGTGTTTATTTTTGTTGTTTTTTGTTATTTTTGGCCTGGTGGAAATGTTTCGCGCAGACTTTTTGCAGTACAATTTCATCCATGTTGCATATGAATTTATGGCTTGTGCATAATTTTGTAAAATTGCAGAAAATAATTTCGTTTACATTAGGTTTAAATTAGAGTTTGAATTAAGAACTTGAAGTATACTTTTGGGGCAATGCATACATATTTATTTAGAAATTAAAAATAAGATATTTTTCATATATATTTAATATATTTTTAATGCGTACTAAATCTCGTCCACAACTTTTAAAAAATGTTTTAGGAAATATAAATTTAAAATTAAAGTTATAAATTAAATGATGATTAAATTTTAAATGAAAATGAAAGAATGTAAAAATAAGGATATAATAAATGTGGGGCTATTTTAAATGTAAAACGGCTCGACATTTATTGCAAGGATTGGGGAGACTCCAAAAAACACAATCAGAGCAAAAATTGTTCAAATTCTTTGTGCACACTTTGTTGCCCCCGATTTAAGTACTCTTAATAGCAATGTGCATGTAATTTGCCATGGAACAAAATCTCTAGCGAATGGCTCCATGCATTTGGGACCAATTTGGGGCATTTGAGCAGAACTAAGTCCAGAAGCTTATCTTGTTCGTGGCTTTACCCAAAGCGCTGCCATTCACCTTTTGTGGGTTTGCCTATTTGCTCATTAAGTATGGCAAGTGCTTAATTTTCTCCATACGCCGCTTAGAAACGACTCATTTTTATTCATTTAACCAATTTTTTATTATTATTATTTTTTTTTTTTTGCCAAGCAGCCAACAACAAATGTGCAGGGCGCAGTCAGTCGGCAATTTGTTTGACTGCTTGTAACATTTGAGCCAGTGTGTGTGTGATTGTATCGGTGTGCCGCAGCAAATGATTTATTTTACGCAACGGTAAGCACACACACACACACGTACATAGAATAACAACGGCATACAATGGCGACAGGCGTCGCATTGTTTTGTGGCAGCCACTTTTGGTTTGGTCGGTAAGGTTTGGTTATATTTATTTTGGCCCAGCATTTTGGTACATTTCCTGCAACAGACGCGGCTGCCACCTAATGCCTACATCAGCATCCTCGACAGTCAACACAAATAGCAAATAACAGCAGCAACGCGAGCCATTTTGTTTTTTTTTTTTCGTTTTGTATTATGAATAAATAACAAACACACCGACAGCTGATGAAAATGATGACTTGGCTGGAGAAGTCTGCGTTGCATGTGATTTATGCTGAGAATACATGGCAACTAAAATAGGCGCTGGGCTTAAACACATTGATTGTTGCCGCTAATGTGGCCAACAGAGACGGCTCTCTGTGGCTCTCCTACCTAACCTTACAGATAAATCTACACACATTTATGTGTTTCAAAGGGTCGGTATACCATTGGGATATGTAAGCAGTGGCCGCAGCAGCAGCAGCAGCAGCTGGCTGGTTGGTGGACGCTGCAGGTGCGTTAAACATTTATGAGATCCAGAACGCAGATTTTATTGAGGTTGTTTTGGGGTGTACCGCAGAAATTGTTATAAACGCCCATGCATAATTCATAAAGTTAAAGTGTGTACCGGTTGCGTATACGCAATAATCATACGCCACGCAGCACAGCTGAAAACAGTTCAGCACACAAAAAGCATGACGGGAACCGTCCTCGCTGCTTTGTATGCCCTTGGTGTGCTTTTTGAACGAATTACCATCAAGGGAGGTTTATTAGTTGCATGATTATTTCCGTCATTGAGTAAAGCCATGAAACAGAACTTAAAAGTCATTGATGCTAGCATTAGGGTTGAATTGCGCTCATTTTGGCATATTTGCACATTTTGGTTTTAGAAAAAAATTCATTTTGT